TAGGAATGAATGTCATATATGGGATGAGTGTTTTCCATTTATCCGCAGGGATTTCATGCCAGTTTAACAAGGTTAGTTAAAAAGCACTAAACTATTGAAGAAATGTGTCACGATTGGTCCATGATTCCCAACACATCTTTTTACAGACAGTAATGCTTCTCAGAAAAACTGTTCTAGATGACATAAAATGACCATGTGTGCCACATGTATATGGTTACTACTAGCATATGCAAATTTGTTTAACATTTGTAGCTACAGGTTATCTCTTGCATTCTTCTCCAGCTCCTAGTTGGTGTAACTGAAGGAATGAATCCTTCTTCTTGCTTAAAGCTTTATTTTCATTATTATTGTTTGACCTTTTCCAAAAGATTCTTTTCCTAAATGTTTTATTTAATAATGTGTGGATTTAATAATTTAATATTATATAATAATATGTAGCTTGTAATTTAGAGCTATTGCGTAAGTTTGCTTGGAAATATATTTCATTCTAATGTATGTTTGCATGGATCTTGTTCTGTTTTTTTTTTATTTAGGAGCTTTTGAAAATGGAATTGCAGAAGGCAGTATCAATCAGTCCATAGGAAGAATACAGGCTATCCGTTTATCGATCAGTTCTGATTCCCCTGTCTGGGCAATACTTAGTGAGGTAAGCATGTTAATAAAAGCACTTTTATTATTCATTGTTAAATGAGTTTTGGTTGTTCCAATCCTACAGTATTGATAATCATGAATTCTGTTTAATTTTGAATGCAATTTTGTGTGGGTAAACTCAAATAATTATAATTAATTATATTAATTATTCAGGGAAGAAGTTAAATTTATGTCACAGAAAGTGCTGGAAATGCTCAAATGGGATGATTCTCCAGTTTTGCAAGTGTAGTCGCTAGGATTTGGGTCTTGATTAAAAAACCTTTTTTTCAGTCACCATCTTGTGTATCAATTATATTATGTCAATGTATTATATCATTTTCAGATGAACATGTGATTTTTTAATTCTTCAAGTTTTTTCCCAAGTGTTTCCCAAGTGAGCCCATAAATACAAAATACTCAGCAGAAGTCACTGAAGAGAATTACTACAGCCTTAAACTCTAGCCTAGCTGGAAAAAGGGAAAAGTTAATGTCTTAGGCAATGTTTCTGCAGATTTTAGAAAATGATAAGATTTTGGTTTTTTCCAGGTACATATCAAGACATCTGAAAACTGAAAAAAAAAAACCGTTTTGATGTGTCGCTTGTAAAACAAGGCTGACAGCAACAGAAAAAAAGAACTGGGTAAAAAGACCAATTCCAAACCCATGTAATTCTTAATACTGTCTATAAGGAAAGAGTTGAGATAACTCTTTTGTCTTTATAGAAAAAGGTATAAAGAACCCAATTATGTTTGCAATTTCTATAAAATGTTGTTGAGTAAGGTGTCTTTTATAAAAATCTCAGCTTGGCAACGTTTAATATATATTGTTATAAACAATTGATAAGGCATTGCAGGCTGTCTCAGGGACTAAAGCATAAACCTGTAACAAATTTCATCAGAAGTAAAAATATGGACATTTTTGAAAAATATTAGGACCACAGTGGACTCCACTCCACTAAAAACACTGATCAGTTTTGTAGGGAAAGGAGAACTGAAGGAAAAGCTGTCAATATTCATTGCAAGTATTTAAATAAGTCCATAGGAACTTATTTAACGTTATGAAAATGGATCTCAAACTTAAGTGTGTTTCAGCCTTAATGTAGCATAAGTTATTTTTTAAATGACAAGTGCCTCCAAGTTACCATTTGAATAACTTTAAACTTAAACAGATATTGTTTGGAAGATTGTAAAACATTTCAGTGAATTGTGTATTGAATTAACTACAGGATATAATAACGGTACTATGTGTAATTATATTTTTGTAGAAAGAAAATCTATTTCAATAAAATTTTGGATCCTGTTGTTTGATAATCAGTGTGTAGTCATATTTAAATCCTGGTCATAAGTTAAAATTCGACATAAATTTGAAAATAAAAAGCAAACCACAGTAATCTCGTTTGAAACATTTCTGGGAAATTACAATCCAGCTCGGGCATCTCCCTGTAAACAGGCAGAATTCTGGAATCACATCCTTAGCACTTGAAGGAAGACAGTGCCCTCATTCCGCTGCACAGGCATTGCATCCCAACAGCAGGAAATTAAATGCAGTGTACAGCTCTGTGTCAATTTGTATTGAATGGGTTACATTAATATAGAATTGTATTCTTAGTGCAAGAACGTTTTTCATTTAGAATGAGTTGAAATTAGTTGTCTTAAATTAAGAGTTCAGAAGGGGTTTTTTCCTTAAAGGCCACCTCTAAAAATGTCTTGATAACATTACTTGCAGGTTTATTTTTTTTTTTAAACATTATTTATTTAGAGTATTATTTACAGGACTGTGGTCCTATATATATGTGCATGTAGACATATATACATACATATGTGTGGCATGTATTTTTGGGACCAAATATTGCAGCCTTCATTATGTTAAGAGTTTAATGCCAGTTAAGAATCAATGCAGTAATCCAGCATCCTTAGAGATACACCAAGGGACACCTTCATCCATCAGCACGTGCAGTGAAAACATAAAATCTTATTTTGCCATTGCTTTCACTGCAACAGACTCATAAGCTGGGAGTAGTGTCTGCATTCAGGGTACCTTACACTCACTTGTTACAGGCAGTTGTCACCGTGAGGAGGAAGTTTTAGGGTGATTATTAAATCAGTGAAAATGTGGAAAATACTAAGGCAGTAGAATTTGCTATCAAACCCACTTATTTTCACAGTGAAATGAGATTTCACTCTAGCTCATGAAGCATAACTTCAAAAAGCTCATCAGAATATCTGAAATTATATTAGGAAGTGATTGAACTTTTAAAAAAACATTGTTTAAATGTAGTTTTTCATCCTGTGCTGCCTGCTTTGTGCTTCATTCATTGGTTCTGGTTTTGCACCTTTTACATAACCATTGCAAACACAGAATACACTTCCCATCACTCTGATGTAAACGAGGTTTTAGCTGAAATTGTAAATAATGAATGCTTGCACATGAACCTTTAAAGTAAAATGTTGCTTAATCCTGATCCTTCCCTGTGCTTTGAGGAGTGAGCGCAGAGGTTTCTTGCACAGTCTGCCAAACCTCAGCCAGATTAAAGGCTGCCAAGAGGAAGCTTCGGTTCAGGTAATGGATCCAGGGAATTCAGGAGCTTCCCCTAACTTTACAGGTGACTGGTTTTGAAGCCCTGACATTGTGATTGCAACTTATAAAACCAAGGGCAGTATGTGAAAAAAACCAACAACTCTGAAAGGAATTTCAGATTCCATATTGGATCACCAGGCTCCTTCGGTAGGAAATTGCGATTCAGTACTTTCACGTGGTTTAAAACCTAGTCTCAAAAATATTGGCCACCTCGGGCTCATTGTACATGTACCTAACCAGGTGAAATGCCTGTGTGGGAAGAAAGCTTATTCAATATTAATGTTGATATTTAATAACAATCGAATATTTGAGTTTAAATATATTAAATAGATGCTATTAATAAATATATTACTGTTGAATAATGTCAATATCGAACAAGCTTAGTCAATGTTAGTAATGGTTTATTTAACCCATTTTGATTTTCACTGTAGCACGCATTTCATTTCTCTGCACGGCGCGCCTCCGTTCTTGTCTTAAATCTTTCGAGCGACTTTTGAAAGTGGGCTCACTGACATTCGTTCTTCTTTAGAAAAGGCAGCTGGAAACCGGGCTTCGGTGATTTATTTAAAATGTGTTTATTTCGCACTGCTCGGCGACCCCGTATATTGGGGTCATCAAACACGTATAACTGGATCGCCCAAGTGAGCCTCCAAATGTAATGAAGGGAGTCCTTAATTTGAGGTTAGCGGTGGCGGAGGAGCCCTTTTCCTGGGCTGACGGTTGGCCGCGGGGGCGTGGGGCAGGGCGATACGTACGCCCCCCATTCCGTGGGCCGCGGCCATGACAGCACAGCCGCCGTCACAGGCGCCCACAGCCGAGAGGAGACGCCGGACCGAGGCTGCGGCCCATTGGCTCGTGCGCCGTGTGGGGGGGCGGGCCGCCAGCCGCGCACCGAGCCGCCATTGGCTCTCGCCTCACGGCGGGCGCCGCCGATTGGCGCGGCTCCCTGCCCGTCTCCCGCGCCCCCACGCGCGCTGAGCTCGGCCGCGCCGCGATTGGCCAGGACGCGACGCGGCGCGAGCGCGAGCGGCGGCACCTGCTCCCGCTCGCGCTCCCGCGGCCCCGGGAGCGGCGGGGGCGCCGCGCGCGTGCGCGGCCGGGGATGCGCCGGGAGCAGCGGCCCGGGCCCCGCTCCCGCTCCCAGCTCCCCGTCCCGATCCCGCCGCCCTTGACCGCCTCGCCGCGCACCGCGGGACGCCGGGAGCGCCGGTAACCGCCCGCCGCGGGGCAGGGAGCGCCCGGGGAGGGGGGGGGCGGGGAGCGGCGCATCGAGGCGCGTCGCGGTGCGTCGCGGTGCTTGGTAACGAGGGCGGCGGCGGGAGGTGCGTGTGGGCCCCGTGTGGCGAGGGGAGGGGGCGGCGGTGGTTCCCCGGCCCCACCGCGCTCCTCTGGGCCCTCACGGCCGGCGGCAGGTCCCGAGGGTGGGTTGCGGGGGGCGCGGTGATCCCGCCGTGGGGGTGGGTTTGGGGTCCCCGCCGGGCAGGGGGAGCGCGGCCCCGCAGCCCCCGCGGCCCTGATGCTCCCTACCAGCTGTCCCGAAAAGCGGGTTTGTGCTGGGCGCTGCCTGAACACCGAGCGGCCGCTCGGTTGACCCGAACCTCTGTTTTTATTTAAATTTTTTTTTTTTTTAATTGGAAAATAACGCCTCCCCGGAGGTTTTAGCAGCAAAACACCTCGAGCAGGCACCTTCAGGAGCACAGCAATTGCAGTGGGAGCAGCTGCTGAGTTACGCGGTGTGTTTTACGCTTCGGCAAACGAGGGAGGGAAGCGCGGCTTTCACACCAAATAAAGGGAAAAATAAAGAGCCGTGTGAGAATTCTTGAGTGCTTTTCACGGAGCAGCTGCAGCTGGATGTTGTCTTTGGTCAGGTTGATGCCAGTGCAGCAGTTTGGGGAAGGTAATAAGGCAGCACGTGGTTATGGGTGGAAAAAGAGGTGGGGGGGGGAAAAAAACCTCCACTTTTTGTAGCCCTTGATGGAATTGCTCTTTGGTCCTGGGGAAAGCCCATGTGTTGATACTGTATGCAGGAGCTTTAGACCTTGGAGTGGGAGAGACTGTTAATGGTTGGCTTATTGAGAATGCAGAGCTCTGAGAGTTGCATGAAAAAGGACATGACCTTCTTCGAAATCCAAAGAAAAGTTAGTAATAATCTAAAAGACCCTGTTCTATGTTTAGCTCTGCATAAAATTTAGGAAGGGTGCCACTACCTTAATGGCATGTGTAGAATATGCAGCAGGTCTGAAGATTGACGTATTTGCACCGTCCAACCGTCTGTGAAAATCAAATCATTCAGGTGGGAAGGGACCATAAGAGGTCTGTACTGTGGCAGGGGCAGCCCTGAGGCCAGTTCAGCTTGCTCTGAGCTTTGTCTGGTCTGTGTGGAAGACCCCAAGGACTGAGCCTAGGCAGCCTGTACCACTGCTCGCCTGCCTTGATGGGGGGAAAAAATTCTAATATCCAGTCAGAATATGCTTTCAGTTTAGGTCTATTGTCTTTCCTAAATATTAATATGTGTCTCAGAAACACCAGCTCGTTACTTTAGGTGCAATGTTCTGCTGATGTTGCAGCGCTGCTACTGATCCCAAGAGCAATAGTACTGCTGGCTCAAATGTCTGTTCTGATGTGTGGCAGTGCTGTCCTTACCCACGATAAAAAGTGACCAAGCTATTCAACAATTTAAAATTACAGATCTGACAGAATTTTCAGCGTGTTTAGAGAAAGCTGAATATTAGCTGCCCATCTCAAAAGGAGAGACCGGGAACCCTGCTTTAGAGGTGCAGTTATTCCAGGTTAGATTTCTGTGTCTCAGTTTCTGTGAATGCAGATGTTCTATCCAGTTCTCTCACGGGTCATGCAGAGCTATTGGCTCAGCTGGTCAGAGCAGGGTGCTAATAGTGCCAAGGGTGTGGGCTTGATCACTGTATGGGCCATTCACTTAAGAGTTGGACTTGATGATCCTTGTGGGTCCCTTCCAACTCAGAATATTCCTTGATTCTGTAAAGTGCTGCCAAGATTTATGGTTTTGCAGTTACCTATTTGCTGTAGCTGCCTGAAGGACAGCTTGGAAGTCACTGGTCTTTGGTGTTTAGGTAAAACTGCCAGTAAACATGTATGGGGTTTGTGTGAGAGCCGTAGTGTGGGATAACTTGGTTTGTTCTGCTGAGGAAGTTTTAACAGTAAGGATCCTCCTGGCTTGATTTTATTGTCAGCTTGAAGAAAGAGCAAGAAAAGTTTTTCATAGATCTTCATGTGTTAATTAGGAAAGTTCAGTAGGTTTTAAAGACCACTGAATGTGTGTAGTGTGAAATTCTATTTTGAGACCACGAACTCTTGATTTATTTTATGTTCTAAGTATGCAATGCTGGCAGAGTTCACAAAAATAGAAGATGTGATGGGCTTGTTTAAAAGCATCTTTGCCTGGCAATTGAGTGATGACTGCAGTTGGTCTTGGTAACATTTTGCGGTGTTTCTGGGATTATTTTAGAAGTATATCAAAAGTTCAAAGGTTAAAATGGGCCTTCTCTTCTTGAAGGAAGAAGTAAGAGATCCAATTGAAGACTGAATTAAATTAGGATAAAATCCTCGGCTAGGACCAGGAAGGAGTGATAAGACTCGGCATTAACGAAGTGAAAGCATCAGGAGTTTTGGAAGGGAGCTGTGTAGAAAGGTGAGTTCTAGTCTGATTATTTGGATGCCCTTGTTATTCTGTGTGTGGAACAAAAGTGGATGGGGCTAATTACAGTAAAATTACAGCTATGTAAGTGAGAAGCATTTTGGATCACGCACAATATACATCTGTAATGTATTGACAAAGAAAGGCGTATCTCTTCATCTGCATTAGGAAAAGAGGAGGGGACCACCTGCATGACAAACTAGCCAGAGGTTAGGCAAGCTTTATACTAAAAAAGCAAGCTTGGTTAATATATGACACTTTAGGTAGGAGCTAAGGAGTGACAGAAGGTATTGATATGAAATTCTTTGACTGCTTCTCCTAATACAGTGATTAAGAAACACAAAAATGAAGGTGGTAAAATGAAGTGTGACACCGTCCAGGCAAAGGTGTTCAAAATATACCATAAAATTCAGTGTTCACCATGATAGACTGAATGACTTTCAGTATTCAGGGCAAGATTATTTTAAGTGCTAGAATTGGCCGAGAAGGTGTATGTATTAACAATATCTGTAGTTTTTAACTAAATTTTGAAAAATCAAATGCAAAAAACACAGTAAAATTTGCAGATAACTGTTGAAATGTATCACTGTGGTAATAACTGAGAAAAAAAGGGACCACAGACCTGCCATCCTCAAGCAAGGTTGTTAAGTTGCCACAAGGAATGGCAGGGATTGTGGATAGTATTGTGGGATGAAAAAAGAACTGTAATGTGATTAATGTAGTTTTGAGGAAAACAGGTGTTCGTCCCCAAAAAAGAGGCTTTTTATTATCTCTCAGTATTGACATAGTACTAGTGTATGGAACGTTTCTGTATGATACTCCTGAGTTTTGGCTCTAAATATAATCAGTGCAGTCAATATTAATTTAAGAGATCTTAATTTTTTTTCCTTATTCCTTTTTTCTTTTTAGATATTGATAGCACAGTCATGCTGGCATGTGAGGTTTTTAGCCCTGATACTGTTTGATCTCTATATGTGTTGCTTGATAGAACTTGCAGGTGTTAAAAAATGGATGATGAATAACTGTTGGTCCAATTGTAATATTTGAATTGCTTGGCAAATCTGATAAACTCAGGAAGGAAGAAAGAGACTCACACTTCCAGTATAAGATAGTATTTAGAATTGCTGAGATATTCAGAGTTGTAGTGGTAAACAATTTAATCTCTAAGGCGTGATGACTGAACTGAGAAGGTGGCTGCTTTCTCAGGGGCAGAAAGCACCTCAGCAGCAGAGTATTTAGTATGACCAATAGCGGCTAAAGGTAATGTACAGTTTGAAACTGTCATACAATAGCAAGTTAAATATCAGTATTTATCTTTATTTTTAAGCTTACTGTGAATAGAATTAATAAGAATCAAAGGATAAACACCTTTTCAGAGGTATCTACAATCTGTCCTTGTTCTGTTTCCATATTCAGGCAAAAACAATTTCAGAAAGAGGTGGGGTTTTTTTGCAAGACCTTGAGGAAAGTTGCATAGGTGTGTCCCTGACAATGCACTGCTCCAAACCACAGGATACTCCAACATAAAACTGAATTTGTATGTCTTACAGATGTGAAGCAAAAAACACTGGGCAACAATGTTTTCTTTTTCACAGCAGATCAGATGGAGAGGCTGGGGCAGTTGTCTGCTGTTGACATTCATACTTATACAGATTAAAGATTTTCAGGTTTCCTTGAAATTAGAAATGTATTTGTATTTAAACCTGAACTTCTGCTTTAACTAACTTAAATTTTAAAATCATTGGAAAATTTCGAAACAGAAAATATTTTCTGAAACAATCTTGTACTTTCTTTTGACACAGCTGGAGTTGATATAAACTCTGTACTCATCTAAACATAGTTATTGGAAGAAGAGGCAAGTAGAAATGTGTAATTCTGGCAGTGGGTAATAATACATCCTAAATCTAACAATTTTATTTTCCCTAATGAAGGGGATGTTACTTACTGCTACATTGTGGAGACTGATTCAATTTGGTTACTTGTTCAGATTCTTAAAGAATGGGAAAATAAAAGCAATCTTACCTAGTTCTTAAAAAAACATATATACTGCAGTCAAATTCTTGCTAAATTTGGCAAGGTAAGGGAACAGGCTATAAGCACTTCCATAGGGACAACAAGAAGTAAAGGAGAGTCTGACTCGGGGCTCTGTAGTAAAAAAAAAAAACAAACTAATTAAGAAATAGCACTTTACTAAAATATTACAGTGACAATGCTTCTGATAGTTGTTTCCTAATTTTTTTAATGTGTTTTTTCTTCTTGTAGATAAAGTCTGGGGTAAACTTAAAATAGTATTGGTAATATCCTTGCAAAGATATTTAAAATCCAAAACTTTCAGTTCTTCAGATAACCAAGATGCACTTCCAGTGGGACTGGCTGTACTTGAGTGTCCTGATAATTAGCTCAGTGACTGCAGAAACTGAAAATGAAGAAAACCTGGATGCAGATGTTGAAGTGGAGGATTTTGACATGCAGTCCCAAGAAGCTGAGGTTGACAGAGATAAACCTTCCATAGAGGTAAGATTACAGAAGTCTTTAGTTAAGTCTGGTTAAATACAGGATGCATAATTATAGCTATGAGAAATTAGTGGATAAATGCGTTTTAAAAAGAGTGAGGTAAAATGCAGTCGACAGCTGAGTGGGTGTCAAACCCAGCAATCTTTCAGTTGCTGAGTGGGACATGTAGGACAAACTTAGAGAATGATTCTCTTATGCCAAAGTATAATGTCTCCTGCCTGTGGTGGATAGTCATGGAAAAGGTTTTACTTAAATCTAAATACAGAACCTTTTGTTGCAAGTCCTAACATACTTTTTCTAGAGAAGAAAGCAGAAAGCATCTTGGTCTTACTGAGATTTTGACTTTAGGCCAGTTTTTGGATTTCATCAGTCACAGCTGCCTTTTGACACTGTCTTTATTCTCAGAAAATCTTCCTTTTGTTATGTTGTACTTCGAAATAGATGCAAATAGGTGTAGGCAATATTAATAAATCATTTTTTCAACTTTCTGTTGTGTAGCCCAATTGTAATGTGCCAAGTAGGTTGGAAAACATGTATGGAAAAAAATAGGAAGCAGAGAATTGATGCAAGTTCAGTAAATTTTCTGGATGTTACATAAGATGTAACAAAGGTTTAATTGTGAGCTTTGAACAACTTATGAAATTCACAGTTGGGAAACTAGTGTTCGAGGGATGCACCCAAACTGTTGGAAGTAGGGGTGGGGAGGAAGGGGTTTTATGGTATTTCTAATGGACAAAATCTGTTGTTCTGCCTGGCTGGATTGCTTCTGGAGATATGATAGTGTGTTTCAAATGAAAAATTGTAGTTTATGTTAGAGCATGTATCTGTACTTGTCTCTTAGGTTGTGTACCAGACTCCAAAGCCAACTGGGGAAGTGTATTTTACAGAAACCTTTGATGGAGGATTGTCTGGGTAAGCTTATGCCTGTAAAAGGATAAACTTTTACTTTCACCAGTTTAAATTACAGGCTTATTTTGTGTTCATTTTTCAGCTAGTATCCTTATAAAAATTAATTTTTTACAGGGGTTAGAATCGGGAAGGCTCTTACTGCTTGCTCCAGATACATCATAATGTTAAGAGGGACCTTTAACATTTCAGATACGTTATTATTTTTGTGTGTTTTAAGGAAGCTTTTAATAAACTGGTTTTGTGGACATCAAGAAAAGTAATATAAAGATTTAGCCAGTTGACTTTAACTAGCTGAAAGGTGAAGTGCATAGCCATTACACTTCAGTAGCAAGCCTTTTCTTCTTCTTCACATGATCTTAGGTATGTGTAAAAAGGCAGCACTTTCACTACTATAGATAAAATCTCTATTGGAAAAGACTTTTCAAGCATATTTGTATTAATTTATTTTATTGCTTCCCATACTCAAGAGGAGTTAGATATTTATGAGACTACTGAAGTGTTCCTAGGTAGTCCTTACTGTAATGAAATTTTAGAACAATGTTCAGGTTTATCTCAACAATTCTTAAGCCAGAAATTTTTGTCTTGTCTGTATCTTGGAAGTGTTTTTACAACAGTGTGGCAATGGCAGGTGTAATTGCTGCTGAGTGACTTGTGATGTTCAATGAAATTCTGTGTTTGTTGAGCTGCAGTCAGTTGCCACCAATGCACTGTTAATGAGAAAGAATGTAATTATTACTTTCTGTTTCTGGAATAGACTTAGTAGTTTTAGTTGGAAAACAATTTGGCACTTAGTCCTCTTTCTACCTCAGATGTAAAGGGTGTGAAATCTCAAGGACAAGCCAAATGCTTACCATATAAATGTGGTCTGTATGATCACTGAGTTCTCTTTTTTAAAATGGAAAAAGAATCAAGCCATGTCAGCACGCTGTCACTGGCTCAAGATAAGTGATTGTGCATTCAGCTAGAATCTGAATATGGTTGAAATCTCTTGGTATTAGGGTACTTTCTTACTATGAGAACAGTTTTAAACTGTGAATGGAGCTGTCTGTTTTTAACAAAAAATCAAGTCTTATTATTGCTATTTTTTTCCCTGTACACTTTGATGCAGTTGAACACAAGAGCTATCTCTTGATTTGTGACGAATCATGAAAAAGGTGTTTTCATATGTTACCAAAATTGATGGAACAAAAACTAACTCCTCGGAAGAGCCAGACCAAGGTGAAAGAAGATGCAATGTGGTACCTTCATTTGGTAGAACTTAAAGCTGCCGGTCTTTTACTTCCTGTGGGAAAACTGAGATCCAGCTATTGTTGGATTGAGATTATACATCATAAGATGTGTCTGTTGAGGGTGCAGAGTTTGGACTGTAGACAAAATAACATGGTACCAGACACCAGTAACTTTTGTAGGATTGAATATTACTCCCTTTTTTCCAGTTGTTTCTAAACTGTTCTCTTCTGTAGAGTTACAAGCCACTGAACGTTAATCTGTTATTACTCACATTATGTTCTTTCATATTTTCTTGCGTATTTAGACCAAAGAGAGAAGAAAAATAAGTTAGCAAGCTCCAGTCTTCAGTTTATCACTTTCCTTAGTGATGTGGCCACTTCTAAATGTTAAGTACAAAGGCAGTACCCAAGATGACGGTAAAAATTATTAAATAGAAGAGGTGATAATGGTTGTTAAAAAAATGAAACAAGCCACTGAAAACCTTGATTAACAATTGCAAAGGCTTAACTGGATACTCAAGTGATAGCTTTCATCCCAATTTCTAGCTTTTTGAGATCTGTTCAAAGATTGGCTTGTCTTCTTGCTAAATCTAATATTCAGAGCTTTAGCTACAGTGCTTGGGATTTTTTGGTCTAGCTGTACATAATTTACATATAAGTAACAAATATGGAAGAAAGATTTATGAAAAAGTAAGCAGCATGTTGCCTTTCTTCCCTAAAACTGTAGAAAGGACTGCATGTAAATTGACTAGGTAAATCATGAGAATAGAGTAGCTTTTTTGGGAGTGGATCTTGCAAATCTTTTGTGTGACTTCCAGAGATGTCTTATTTCCTCATTGGTCTCTGTCGTGGTAGGCCAAAGATCTAGTTTGCTATTTATACTGGGAAGTTTTTCCAGCATTTCTTTGAACAGTGAGCAAATGTGAATGAAATTCCAGCAAAGTAAAGTATTCATCCCTGAAATGCTCCATGCAGAGGATAGTTCAGAATAAATGAAAATAGTTCTTTACAGAATTAATGATGAGAATGTAGTATTGTAGTTGATACAATGAAGAGTTCAGCAGCACTGTTGGCCTAAGATATTCCTGTGCATGGCTCAGGATAGAACCACTGTATGCTCATAGTATCGAGTTGATCAGGAGTGCATTTGCCTTGTTGGATCCTCTGTGTGCAGAACACTTGGAATCTGTTCAGTGTATAATTGCATTTGTCATTTGGACACTTACCATTCCCTTTTGTCCTCTGCTATGCACGTGTGCTGTTACTGTCAGATAAAGTAAAGGTTCCTTTGGGTGATTTTTTTTCTTATCATACTGAAGGTTTTATACTTGAAACTTGCTGTTTTGCCTGTATTTTGTACATTGTATGCTGACATAATATTCTTACATCCTGCTAAACTCAGCTTGTATGTAAAACTAAAGTCTATTCAGAATTAAGTAATTCAGGAATTAAATACTTTAGAGTTATAATTGTATATTCATTTGCATTTTCAGGAAATATTTTGAAATGCCATATTAGAATCTACTTATGATTTTTCCTTTCATATTCTTTGAAGTACAGACAATTCCATGACGCTGACTGTCAAAATCATTATTACAGGTTCACAGCCTATGAGCAAAAGCTGTTTTTCCTGTGCTTGTTAAATAATACAGCTTTGCATAGATAGTTCAATGACCAGTACACTTTTTGTTTTAGGTGGGTGTTGTCTAAAACCAAGAAAGAAGACATAGATGATAACATTGCTAAGTATGATGGTGAGCAGTTTTAATGTTTACCTCCAGTGTATGGTTTGTGATGTTTTGTTGCTCCTTGAAAAATAACTACCCCCTTCACAGAACTTATCTTTGAAAATCTAGATGAGACAGGTCAAAAATGTTGTTTTGTATAATGACTGTTACCTTGAAACTGAGATGCCAGGTGTTGCTCGTTGGGTTACTCAGTGTGAAGATAACTTTTTTTGGTCATCCCAGCAGTCTATTGCAGTGGATGATACTGGAACACACTCTGGCATCTGAATATTCAGTATTGATTGTTTATGAATATTGCTTCTTGAGAACTGTCTTCTCTGAAATAATGTCGGAGAGATTTACCACTTCAATGTCAGCTGTTAAACAGGTTTCTAAAGCAGCATGTTCCATCTTGCTCTGTCTGTCCAGCTGATTCATGGGTTGGTCTCTTGGTATAGCTTTTGAAACAAGAAAGTTAAACTGAATGATGTTTTTCTTTAAAATACTTCTTCAGATTGCCTGTACTTGAATATAGGGCTCTTCACTGGTTCTTGTACAGTTTAGCCTTAGAGTAGTCAAAAACAAATTTGGAAAGCAATCATGAAAAGGTTGTTTTGATGTTTTAATCATTGGAGTTTGCACTTGACTTGTGAATTCCTAGTCTACAATTGGCTGCTTAAATGTAATTCTAAACTGTTTGACAGACGTGTGATCTGTGGCCGTAATTTTGGAGTCCGAATTTATTTACTTCAAGAGGGAGTGGAGAGAACAGAAAATGTTTCTGCTGCAAAAGAAAAATATTTTCTACTGCTCTTATGTCAAATGAAATCAATTAATGTTAATGCAGGACTTTGATGTGCAAAACGGATGTTTTTAGGTTTAGCAGTTATAAGAAATAACTGGTAAAATTAAGAATTTGCAGAGGAGATATCCACACAGATGAGATGCTTATAAGAACTGATGTCTCCCTTATTACCCAGCCTCATGCTGGATAGAAATTGTCTTTAATATCAGAAAGTTGTTTTTACTTGAAGTCACTCAGAAAATTCAACATTTAATAAAGTCAGTGATAAAAACACATTTTGGAACTGTTTTCCCACCATTTGTTTTTTCAGACTTGTTGTTTTGCCCAGTGTTATTGCTTGGCATTAGTTTCCATGAAGGAACACTATTGAAGGGGAGGGAATTTTCCTCTCTCCTGTTTAGCAGACTAGAAGAAACTAAGAATTTGGGTTTGGTGTACATACCTGCCCTCCCTTAACAACTCTTCACATATTGCACTTAAGTTGAATAAATAAATAAATAGCTGTTTACTGGCATTTCTCAATTTTATGAGTCTTCTCTAAAATACATGCTGAAGAACTCATGACATTTTTTTTTCCTTTTCACATCGACACAGGCGTTTTTCAAGATTACAGTAAATTGTAAAAGTAGGGGTTTTGTGCTGTGTTAATTCCTGGAAAAAAAATCCAATGAATCTCGTGCTGTTAATCTCTGAGAAGATATAACTGCCCTTTTAGAAATCTTGTTCTTTGGATATTGGCCACATGTGTATTCAACTGTATTTCTCCCAAAATTGGAGAATATATAAATATATAATCTATTTTTAAAGCTGCAGGCGTGTTTGTTTGTCTTTAAGATCAAACCTGATAATTCTTAGAAAGACTTTGAGGGGAACTTCATCTGCCCTGTGATTAAATTTGACCCAAAAGATTCTAATTCTGTATAAGCAGAAGAGAAAGAATGATGCAGGTCTCTGGCTTACGCAGTGCCTTGTGACTGATGCTTTTTATGTGATGATGGTAGGACTAAATCTAAAATCTGGAGAAATATTTTTATGTTCCTCTAGCCATTGCAGGGTGCTACAGTCTAAAGAGACAGATCTACAGCATTAAAGTTTTCTTGTAGATTTCTGTAAATTTGAGAAGAGCAAGAAATAGTATCTTTGACATCAGATGTCAAGACTTTTTCCCTGCTGGGGCGAATAGTCTTTGTTCATTAACACTTGCTTTCAACAAGGCTGTGATTTCTTCAGCCTGCATTTTTTTTTTCAAAGACTCTCTGTGTCTGTGTTTTAGGAAGATGGGAAGTAGAAGAACTGAAAGAAAACACAGTGCCTGGAGACAGAGGATTAGTGTTAAAATCGGTGGCAAAACATCATGCAATATCAGCAATGCTAACAAAACCATTTATTTTTGATGATAAACCTTTGATTGTTCAGTAAGTAATGCCTCTGATTTTTTACTTTTATTATTAAAATCTTTAAGTTAAGAAAATAATGTGAACCTCTGTAAAAAATACTGACTTCCATATAGCATTGACCTTTTGTATCCAGAGCTATTAGAATTTAAATATGAGTGATCAATTAACTAATTAAGATTGTAGTATAAGTGTTCAAAAGTGATATTTAGACTATTTTGAAATAATTTTGGACAGAAATCTTAATATTTGCTTACGTAGAAGTGTTTTGACAGTGGTGACTAATACACAATCTTAATGTGTTCATAATTAGAACTGCAAATTAGAAGTTAATTTGTATTTTTTTCACACTTGGAATGATGTTTTTTTTTAACTTTGCCCAGGTATGAAGTGAATTTTCAGAAAGGCATTGACTGTGGTGGTGCATATATTAAACTTCTCTCCAGCAGTGATGACTTGAATCTGGTATGTCCTCTTGCTTAACATTTGCTTTCAGTTGTTCATTTGAGGAACAACTTGGTTCACCAGGAGTGATGTCTTATATCCAGGACAAAGGACTTCTTTATCTGTGTAGTCTGACTTTGTGTATTAATAGAAGCCATAGGATCTGAACTCATAACTTCTGAAACAGTTATTTTACTGCAGAGCACAAGCAGGTTATTCCAAATGCAGAAAACATATAAGTAGTTGAAAGGTACTGACATAACTAAAGAGATTTATGCGACATACTCTGAAGGAGAATAACTATATCTGATCTTTTCAGGGCTGTTTGTTGCTGCTACTTAATGTGGAAAGGAAAGAGGCGCTGATAAAAAACTGGATATTAAAATCCTGGCTTTTATCTTTATTGGAAAATAAAGTTGTCATGAAGAACAGTAACTAGCTCCCCTTCCATTTTTAGTGTAATGTTTGTAGAGGGACATACTTAGGTGTTTTGATTTGTGACAGGCATCTAAATAAATACATTCATCTTCCTTGAAGAGACTAAAAGAGTTAATCCATTCCCTGAGAACAGAGAGCACCCAGCATTTCAAGAGGAACTGTTCAGTTCCTTTCATTATTTTCCCTCTCGCTTTTCATTTATCTTTTAGAAAAAAGTAACTATGCTGGATGTCAAAGAAAAGAACTACTGAAAATTACTTCAGGAAATATCCAGTATAACACATGCTCAGCTTTCTTGCTTCTACAGGAATACTTTTTTGACAGAACACCTTACACTATTATGTTTGGACCAGATAAATGTGGAGAAGATTACAAACTACACTTTATCTTCAGACATAAGAATCCTAAAACTGGAGAATATGATGAAAAACATGCTGAACGTCCTGACATAGACCTAAAAAAGTTCTATTTGGACAAGAAGACACATCTGTATACTCTTGGTATTGTTTAATTCTTATTGGAAAGGAGAAATTAAAAAATTGTTTCTGTCTGCTGAAGCTTTGTAATTGAGTCTACTTTTTTGTTTGTAGTAGTCTGTTAATTGTGAAGGGTGGTTGCTTAATGATTTGGCCTCAAATGATTTAATAACTGGGCTTAAATTGTTTAATGACTGAGCTTAACTGCAGGACATAAAAGTGGCTTTCAAATGCTGCTGTTTAATATTCACTTATTGGAAAAAACATATAAGCCCTGGCCAGCATTTAGCATAAAGAATTGACTAATGCCTTCAGTATTTATTATGATCAGATATTTTTACTGAGAAAGATAGTAAGACATCCAACTGTCCAATATTCTAGGAAGGTGTCAGAGTTCACAGGAGTTCAGTTAAATCTGCAGTGTGTCACACACGAGTCTCCTCCATGTGTTAAGAGCTCTCACAGACACCTGCAGTGTGCATGAACAGATAGGTCAGCACATCCTCTGAAGGTGAACAAATGTGGGCTAGGTTTAATTCGTGTGACAGCTCTTCCTGTGCCAGTGAACAGCTTAGCAGAGATGGCAGTTCAGTTCATTTTCCACCCTTTGTTTATTCTTCCTCAGAAGTTAGAAAATCAGAGCAGAACGGGCTCATCTGTGGCACGCTGCAAATCCAGCCAAATTAACTGCACTTAAAAACTTCTATGGACTAATAATAACAGAAGGCATGTTCAAATGCTGTGCCATGGGTTTTTAAGATAGATTGCTATAGTGTGCCACAGCAGACTTTCTCTTTCAGATGATAGGAATCTCCTAGTAAAGGAATGCATGCATTCATTGGGCTCTTTGTTAGAAATTCAAGATACTTAAACTTGGATTGCATTTATTCTCTCATAACTGTTCAAATAGACTCCACAGAGCTGTGTAATTCTAATGTGGCTGATAACAGAAGTCTAAAAATTAGTTCTTTGCACTTTATTTAAAGGTGATAGGGATATTTTAATACTGTTGAAAACTTGGGGCTGCAAGATCTTAATTAGATATAAGACTGTTACTCTGGTTTTCATCACCCATCTTAAAAAAAGTGTCATGAAAGTGGAAGAGCATTTACTTTTACTTAATAATCTTTGCTGTGTTGAATGGACAGTTGAATATACTAGTTAACCAGTGAGCACATTTGTAAGTGCCTGTTAGAAGTGGATCTGGATGCATCTGTTACCGAGTCTCACACTGCTCAGTTCTGTGACCTTGGCTTCTCAGTGACTCACACTTGCTAACGTACTTAAACATTTGGAGACAATTTTCTGTATTTGCAGTCTGGCATTTGAGAGAAATGGCTCTTAGAGGTTTGAATCTGAGAGAAAGTACTTCTTTGATCCTTCAGCTGTGTTATTGGCACAATTCTTGTTGTTTCCATGCTTTCAAGTGTGAGATGGTAATTTAGTAGCAGAGATGCCTTTTGGGGCAGAGATTTGACTTTCACTGTCTGTGCTTTTTAAGTAAAAACAGCAGAATTTTGGCCAAGTGGTAGGCTCTTGAAAAAATCTTTTAGAATGTGTTTGGATGTGTGTCAGCAGTTGAATTTTCTAGAAGTTTCATTTTGGGGGGCCTGATGCTGGTTATACATCCCCTCAAGGACAACTTTTTGTGCCCAGACTGAGTGAGAAGCCTGTCTCCTGCTCTGCTTGGGAGGATCCTGTTGGCTGTTATTTGACTAAGTCTGTGCTTATTACATAGCTTTGGTTAAAGATACATGTAAAATTAATGGCTCCCTTATTTCTTTAAAACAAATTTCTTCAATTTAGTGCTAAAACCAGATGATACATTTGAAATGTTAATCGACCAAACAGTTGTCAGTAAAGGAAGCCTTCTTGAGAATATGATTCCTCCAGTAAACCCTTCCAAAGAAATAGAGGATCCTAGTGATAAGAAGCCTGATGACTGGGATGAGAGACCAAAAATACCTGATCCAAATGCTGTCAAACCAGATGACTGGTAAGGAGAATATTTTTTATCTCTACAGTGCCTTTTACATACAGGTCATATATTTGAAAGATTTGACTGGTTGTATTTTGGGGTTTGCCAATGACAACTGGAATATGTTTCACTAAAAGCACTAAAGTTTGAAAACATAGCTGAGGTGGGTACAAGGATCTGGTTATCCTCTAAGGAGAGAAATAAAAATTGATTTTTGCTGATTTTTGTGCCCTCTGTGGTTGCAATTAATAACTAAGACTGCTACACCTGAATAAGAAGCGGGTGTTTTTTCCACCATTTAGTGATTTAGTGATTTTCACTTCCTTATGTATGAATTGCTGTTCATGAAGCAACTCAAGAAGAGTAGAGAAAAACTCAGAAGACCTGACTGACACCTGCCAGTTCATGTCAGCAATTTCTGTACTAAACAGTACTATGAAACAATGTAAATATAATCCAGGTATTTATAAACAGATAATTGGATATCTAATTCTCATGATCAGTGAGTCTAATTCTGTTGTGCCTTTGAAAATCATTCCTTTCGTGCCAGTTACAGTCGTCGGAACAGAACATTGATACAAAGTCAGGCTGCTGTATTTTCTAACCTAAGTCTGTAATTGAAGGGATGAAGATGAACCTTCCAAAATAGAAGATCCTGATGCTGTTAAGCCTGAGGGATGGCTTGATGATGAACCAGAATATGTTCCAGACCCTAATGCAAAAAAACCAAAGGACTGGTAAGTTGGAATGTGTAAGGAATGGCCAAATACTTGTTGGTTTATGGGACTGATTCTATAAAAACATGAACATGTCCATTGCTTTTTGTTTTCTGAAGATATATTAGCAAAAACAGAATATGAAGGACCCCTTTGAAAGAATTTACTACAGTTTAAGTTGATGTCTGGAAGTCATAATAGTCTCAAAGGGATCTCTAAGCACCCTAGGGAGAAGTGTTTCAAGCTGTCTGCAGGTGCAGGAATGTAATTGAGGTCAGTCATGCTGTGGTAGTTATGAACATGTGACCTTTAAAAAAAAAGTAGAGCACTCCTTAAAAACAACTATTTGTACTGTTCGGTAGAGCTCTGTGAGCTGGTCAGAATTCTGAGGTTGTTATAGCAAAATGTGTATGGACCCAAACTGCAGACTGCCAGTGTTTTGGACCTGTCTGATCTTAAAGCACTTGTTTGTAATTTTTTTTTTTTCTCTCTAGGGATGAAGAAATGGATGGGGAGTGGGAAGCCCCCCAGATCCCTAATCCAAAGTGTGAGACCGCACCTGGTTGTGGACAGTGGGTGCGTCCCATGAAGAACAACCCAAAGTATAAAGGGAAATGGAGAGCACCTATGATAGATAATCCTAACTATCAGGTAATAGAGAAATTGTAGGTCACTGTTAAAAGGTACAGAGTTGAACAGAGCAAGAAAGTCAAAGTAGTATATTTATCTAGGCTTTTTTACTGTATATTTATATTTTAGAATGAGTCTGAATACCCTCACTAAACACTTTGAGATTTTTTTTGCATTTAATTTCCTTTTTTTTTTTAAGTATACTGGAAAATAATAATGCTTCCTGTATTAAAACAATTTATCTCTTCAGAGTTACTTTTTGTATGATTTGCACTGGTACCATTTATTTAATATGCTCTGTAGAATTGTATCCTAAGTTACATTGGGGTTTTAAATATGAGTCTTCTGAATAAACAGTTATATTAAAAAATTAAGCCTTTCAGCAAGCAGGTTGAACTTACTAGTTCAATTTTAGAAGATGCATCAATTTGGGATAATTAAATTCCCTTCTTCCCCTCCAGAGATAAGAGGTAATCAGCTGCATATTAAAGAGAGTTACTTTGTATTAGTTATGGCTGGGGAATCCTTGAATCTGATTTCTTTGAGCTTAAGATCCTAAGCAGGTTTGCAAACAAAATTTGCCTCTAATTTGCACAGGTGTCATAAGGCTGAATTTTCCTTTCCTAAAATTTTCCCTAACACTTCTGGTAACTGTCAGTTATTCCTGTAACCATACTCTTAACCTATATGAACAGAAAAAAATAAGGGGTTTGCCCTAAGCCATGTAATTCAGACCCATCTGCCAAAATACTATTGGCTATTTCTAGTTTGTTTTTATGTAGGTTAAACTTTACTGCTTGTCTTTTTAAATAATGCATTTAACATAGTTGTGAAGTTGTAATTATTTTAAAATTTCTTTCACAGTGTAAATTTTAAAATTTCTTTCACAGTTTTTTAATTTTTGTAAGCTATGGGTAATGTGATTACATTTTTTTTCCATTAACAGGGAATCTGGAGCCCTCGGAAAATACCAAACCCAGACTATTTTGAAGATCTTCACCCATTCAAGATGACCACTGTCAGTGCTATTGGCTTAGAATTGTGGTCTATGACGTCTGATATCTACTTTGATAACTTCATCATCTGTTCAGAAAAAGAAGTAGCAGATCATTGGGCAGCAGATGGCTGGGGCTTGAAGAAATTAGTAGCAAGTGCTAATGAGGTATAAACTTTATTATGTTCTTGATATCAGAAAGTGAAGAAGCTGTGCTGTTGGAAGAATTTTCTGTCAGTTAATGCTGACAGAATATTCATTTGTCTGCAGTTAATAATCTTGCTGAGTAACTCTGATACTTTGGCTTTTTACTTTTCCCAGATCAATATTATCTTGAAATTAAAAGGGTACTACATTTTATTTAAACACCTGGCGAGAAATTGGCTTCATATTATGTCTTTTGCTGTTCACAGTGATACTAGAAATACCTGATAGCCAATAAAAGCTGAGTTACTTACACTCAAAGACCTTTTTTTTTTTTTTTTTTCCCTACCACTTCCATTTTTCCTTATGGCTCTATCCATGATACATATTCTTTAGATGCTTCCCATCTGTGAGGAATGGATGAATATTCCAGTGTTTGTTTCTGTTTAATAATTTTAGGGCTTTGCCTGCTTACAGCTGTATCATGCAGCTCTGAAAATACTGCATGCATGTTCATGGAGCTGCATCTCTTGTTCTGTTTGTATGTGTGCATCACATTTTGTTGTGCGCTTAGCCAGCCACCACAGCTTTTTCTAAATTTCTTCCCTGTGTTCTGGGAAGGAGCTGCCTTGCCACACGGGATCATGAGCCCCTCTAGTGGCTGCCTGCACTCCTGTTTCTGTCTAACAGTCCTCTGTTTTCTTTGATTCAGTGGCAAGAACAGGCTGCAATTTTGGGAGAGAAATGATGGGTTGGTGGCAAGTGTGGCAAATTCCTGACAGCTGCTGTTTGTCACAGCATGAGCAGGTAGCAACAGCATATCTGCCCATGCCATCAGGAAAGCCACCTCCTCCCACAACCTTGCCATTTTCCAAAATGTTTGGGTTTATGTCTGAACCTTTATCCTTACCTGTACACACAACGGCAAAAAAACTCCTTTGAGTCCCCTCACTCCACTCTGTCTCTCAAACTTCCTTAGATACTGATGTACCCTTTCCAGAGGTCATTAAAAAGCAAAGGTGAAGAAGGGTTTTCTTTGGACAATATAAATGTATAGAGCACACTTCATTAACTTATTATTTATTTTTCTTTAATACAGCCTGGTATGTTTAGTCAGTTGGTGACTGCTGCAGAAGACCACCCATGGCTCTGGGTTCTTTACATCTTGACTTTAGCTCTCCCTGTTGGTCTAGGTGTATTGTTCTGCTGGCCAGCAAAGGTTAGAGAAATTTATTATATTTGTATTTGAGTTTATTCTTAATACTTTATTTGAAAACTCTTAGCATCTGTGCAACAATTCACACTTTCAATGTACTTAATAAGTATTACTTAGCTTACAGTGGCTGTTGTGTTTAATACTTGAGTTGAAATGTAAATTGATTTTTAATTTGTTGTAGAAAACAGATGAATATGATTTCAAAAAAACTGATGTATCTAAGCAAATTAGAAAAGGAGAATTAAAACAAGAGAGAGAGGAGTTCGAAGATGATGAAATAGATGAAGAAAAAGAAAATGAAGATACTGCTGAAGATGGTAAGATGAGCATGTCAGCTTGCATTTTGGTTAAGGACATAAAATAGAACTAGTTCATGGATTGCATTGCCAATAAGTACCACCAGTTGTCTTAGAATATGCAAAATCTGCCTTGCTCTGAGTCTTTTCCTCTTTGACAAACTCCAGTGAGTGGCATCTCATGGCTTATAACTCTTTGATAAATACAAGCAGAAAGTAAGGCTCTACTCAGTATTTTTTTACTTTCAAAAAATGAATGTGCTTCCAGCAGTCTTTTTTATCTTTGTAGACAGTGATGCATATTTTATCCCCTCTAAATATTTCATCTACTTAACACATTTTAAAGGTTCAGATATAAGTACCTGAAGTGGTTAAATGTACATTGTTGTCTTTAAAATGTGTCTGGAATAGCTTTATGTCTGTTACATAAGTCGTTGTGCTTACTTCTCTGGGGGAGGGTTGTACCTTGAACTGTTTTGTTGATCCCTAATTTTAGTTGCTGTTGTTAAAGCCTGAAGATACTTGAAATACTGAAGTTTGCTGGTTCCTTTGTGTTGCTTTTTAGCAACATGTTGCAAAGGGCTGTCCTGCTGCCCAAGTGAGAAATCAATGATTCAGTAGGTTGAGCTGTGCTTTGGCATCCAAGGATAAATCATCTTGTGTTACTGTGTCAAAAATTATTGGTACTATTCAGCTATGGCTTTGATGTGCTGTTAGCACATCCCTGAGTCTATATAACAGATAAAAAACAAATCACCTAACTTACAGTGCATTATCTTGACTTCCATGAGAACATTTTTAGCTTCAGAACTGCACAAGGTTCTCTTGCTTCACTCCTCCTTTGTAAGAACAAAAGAAAGTGCCAAGTGACTGGCACAGATAATTAGAAACTGAGCAGACATTCTTGGTTGGTGTTTTTTTCCCTTGGTACTGACATCACTTTGTTTTACTGACTGAAACTTGCTGGGGTTTGTGTGTCTTTGCACTAACTTCCATGAGTGTTGATGGCTTCTGTATAGCATCAGCTATTCCCACGCCAGTACTGACAGAATCAAGTATATTGTTGTCCCAATGCTTGCCACCCCAAACTTAGTCCTGACGGTCTGCCTCTCTATTCCAGAGCCTCACCTAGGCATTTAATTATTTTGTTATGTCATTCTTTACATTAGCATAAATTTTAGTATATAATTTCATCATTGTATCTTCCTGCATTTTCCTTTTGATCTTGCTCTACTCTACCTGTTCTTTGCTCTTGAATTACGGACTGTTTTATTCTACCGAATCTTAATGTACATCATAGGTGCGGTTTGTACCTAATATGCTGCTGTTGCAAGGCTAAGATACCTCAAGTGCAATATTCTTCTTTAAGACAGTTAATTTAATTTATTTAATTAATTACAACACATCAGTTAATAAATAGTATGTTAGAGTGTGTGTTTCAGTGGTAGAAATCAGGTTCAGGCAATTGCAGAGGAATGCTGTTTAGCTCCCACAACTTTTTTAAATTCGACTTGGAACAGTTGTTCTTGGTGTTGCAAAGGTACGTTCTATTTTAGACTTTTAGTTACTTTACTTTTAGTTACTACACTGAACACAGAGTAAAACTAACCTAGCTAGCTTTTGTATGACTATTCCAAGGTTTTCAAGTAAATTCTGTGCTTCAGAGGGAAGGATTACACTTGGCTGTCTTAGGACTTCACGGTATCTTTCTCTAAGAAGAATTGCTTAGCTTCCCTTAGTTTCCTGCCACCTTTTACATTTGTAGGTTGAAAGCTTCCCCTTTTTCTATCACTATCCTTCTATCTTTTGCATCTTCTTATCTGAAAGCATTAGAGAATTTGTCTTCTGCCTCCTTTTCCTGATTCTTTTTGCTACAGAGAGAAGAGAAATGGAGGAGACAAAAAGAGAATTTTTAAAGGATGCAAAGAAGATGGGAAGGGAGGCTCCTCTTTCAGGTACTGGGAAAGGGAAGTAATCTGGGCCAGGACTTGCAAATGATCTTTCTTATCTGGTTTTCTTCCCTCTGCTTCCTTGTTGATGGTAGAACTTCAAGCTGGTGGATGCCAGCTTTCATCAGGTGCAGATGCAAGTTTCCTCTGAGATTTCTCCCTGTGGTATCTGTAGTCATAAATATTTTCTACTCATCACTTTGGCTCCTTATAATTTTTACAGTTCCTTTATAGTCATTATCTCCTCCTTTGTTTTTTGGAGTTAAAGGTAATGGGGTTTGAGCTGTTGAATAGAGTGACTTGAGATCTACATTATATCATGGGGCCATTAAAAAAGAAGAAAGAAAGAAAAAGAAAGTATGGCACAACTCCAAAGTTCAGAAACACCTCAAGATTTCTTTGACTCCAGTGAGAATGAGTTGCTGGCAGATTACTTCTTAAAGGGCATTGTCCATGGGATTTACTGTTTTATTTTGTTCTATGTTAATTTTTGTGACATTGCTAAAGAGTAGTGTGTTCTTGGCTTGTCTACTTGTCTGCTTTGTCTCCTTGAATTCCTTGCCTTCTAGAAAAATATTCCAGGTTGAATATTGAATGTTGCCACAAAATGGAATTTCAAGACCACAGTCTGAACCTTATTTGTCAAGTTAAACATTAATTTATATGAAATACTGTTTAAATTACTATTAGATTAAATTAAAATTAATGATTTTACATATGTAGTTGTCCAGTTCTGGCTTTTACAACTTCTGATGTCTGAAGGTTTTTTTGTTGTTTTGAGGTTTTTTTCCCCCTTTATTGAAATCAGTATTTATGGGAAGAGCTGGATTTGCATCATTTATCATTTCACATCTCTTCATTAGAATATGAGCAAAGCCTTTGTGAATTTCTGCCAAGCTCCTCTGTTAGGAGCATATTTTTAGAACAGAAATCTTCTTCTACATCTTTCTTAAACTATGATCTGCATTTTTTAGTCATATTTTCCCTTTTCATAATAAATGTAGAGAGATATTATTGTAGACATGTACCAGGTATATTGGCAGATGGGAAAGTGGATTTCTTAGTTCCTAACAGTTAGGGAAGCTCTGTTTGGCTCAATTTATAGCTATACTGCAGGTGAAGGTTTTTGGTACTTCTACAGAAGTCTCAAATATTTTAATAAATTGAAAATTTCTAGATTTTCATCACCAAGAATCAGGAGAGCCACATCTTATTTGCGACTACCTTCTGAATTTATATGAATACTTTTGTTTCAGTTTTAGTGAGATGCAGCAGTAAGAATTAGGAGGTTGGGGTGGGTGGTTTTTTGGTTTTTGGGTTTTTTTTTCCACACTGAAGTAGTGCTTAGGAGAGGTAGGCATGACCTGAAAAGGATAGAATTGAGCACTGCTTCATTACTGTTTTTAGCTGAGTCACTGGCAGACTGTCAAGTTGTAGAATGCCATTGTGTATCTTTTCTATCAGATTTAAGTAAGATTTCTTGTCTGCTCATGATAGAAAGTATTTCAAAGGGTACTAGTGAACTAGTAGTGCAAGCTGGACATACCTTGAGTGAGCTAAGGGGAGTACAGTCCTCTTCTGACTAGTTTCTGCATTGCAATAATACATAGGAAGGGAGGGAAGTACTGGGCTGCTTATCCCTCAACCAAAACAGAAGAATTGCCAGAAGAATTCCCTGCTGAAAACAGGAGTTCCCTTAAGTTGTAGGTGTCCCCCTTGCTGGATGACTAATAACTGCAATATTGTACTTTCCTATCTAAGTCAGAATTTAGTCAAAATTTGGGATGCCTGATTTGTCCTGTTTTTGGACTCTGGTCTCCAAACCGTCCAATACAATACTTTGATTTTAAGTGAAGTAAAATCCAGTCCTTTTAGTCAGTAACAAGTCTGAAGAGAGTAGGGGCTGTTGTGAAAAGAGTTGAAGTTGGAGCTGTTAAAATTATTAAATTTGAAAATTATCACTTTCTACTCATTCATGAGAATTCTACTCACTTTAAGACACAGAGATGTTTTTATGGGTTATTCCAAACAAGGAGTTCATTCTAAGACTGAAATTGGCTTATTTTCCTCAATAGTGTGTCTGGATATAGTGCATTTTTAATACAGTTCTGCTTACAAAGTAAAATTAACTTCTGCAGAAGATGAGGGTGAAGGTGGTTTAGATATTGATGATGATGAAGAAGAAAATGAAGTTGCAGATGAGGAAGAAAATGAAGTTGCAGATGCAAGTCAGGAAGAAGGTGGTATGTCAAATAAATCTGATTCAGAAGATGAGGTAAGCTTCTGCGTTTTCCCCTATTTTCTCCTCACCCTTATATGATATCATACTTCTAACTAAGTTACCTGCAACAAGTGTTTTTCTTCTCTTGAGCCATAAAACAAATCCTGAGGTGGAAATATGTTTTCATTTGATTTTAACACCTCAAATGCTCTGTATAAATATGTGTATAGTATAGAAGTGATCATGCAGATCTCTAAACACAAAATGTTTTTACAGGAGTCTAGTTTTTAATGGGTTATTAAATGAATTGCTAGTCTTGAAGATTTAGATGTCAGTCTTTATTGTGCTACTTAATTGATGGAACGTGTTCTTCTAACAGAATAGCCTTTTCATGAAACCTAGAAAAACCTTAAGCTTTCAGCTATCTTTTGGGGTTTTTTCCAAAATAAAGTAAAATGACCATACTTTTTTTTTTTTAATTCAGTACCTGCAGTTTCATTTTTCTTGTGCAGATTAATCTAGTCACCCAGATAATCTACAAAATGTTTTCCATAAAAATAACATCGTAGAATGGAATTTTTGTGTGCTTTTCTTGCTCATCAGTCAGCTACTTATTATTATCCTTTATTTAGAAACTAGTGTGTCTGAAATGCCCTAGATCCACCCATTGGTCATTTTGTGCTTGTCATTCCCTAAATTAGTCCCTTCCCAGATTAGGGGAGTTATTTAATGTAATGTAATGTTGATTCCTTTTCTTGTAAAACTCCTCTAAGAAACTGGACCTTGCATGAGGTTACATTGTTTCAGGACTAAAAATTTTTCAGTAATTACCCCTTATTCAGTACTTCTTGTTCCTGTAGGAAGTTTTGTGAGGTTTTTTTTTCCTCGTACATTAACCTAGGAATACAGTATCTGATAAACCCTATTAGGATTCACAGGACTCTTTGTGAAAGTAGCAGCAAGATCTGAATGTGTCTGTGCCATGGCACAGTAGCACAGCGAGGCCACAGCTTGCTTTTCTCCCAGTCTCTTCAGCACCTACGAGTTCCTGTCATGAATTAGCTGGTGACCTAGTTGGGAGACATCATGTACACCACGTCCTCACTCAGGCTGGGCCACATTCTCTGAGCTGTTCTTTCTGAAGGAGGTGCTTGCCATTAGGTGATGCAGGGAAGTGAGGAAGCAATGCATTGTCTGAGAATGGAGTTCACACTGGAAAGGCTTTTTATGTTCCTCTGTAAGCTTATTGCTTTTAAACTGGGAACACCACATCTGATTTAAGTACAGCTTGCTTTATTTGCAGCTCTCCAAAGGGGATGGTTAGAATGTTTTAAATGCTTCTTGCTTCAGAAGTGGAAAGCAAAATTAGCATAAGATGCACTTTGAGGAAGTTGCTAAATTAATTTAAAAGTCACCACTTTTAAACCAGTGAATACATGGGCAAACCCAAATTTCTGACATCAGTTTAGATGCACTATTCTCTTCTTTCTGAATATAGGAAGGAAGAGTCTTCTACCCACTTTGTTTATCATTAGGTTGGTATTATTGAAAAATGTGTCCCATCACTTCAGTGTTGCATTCAGTGATAACATGACTGGGATGTTTAGTGGAGTAATAAAGTAGCATGCCAGTTTCAATAATTAAATTAAAATAGGTTTAAAATTCTAATGCTGAATTTTTTCTTTTTTCTTTTTCAGAAGAAAGAAGTTGATGAGGGTACAGGAGATCACCCGCTGAGATCAGTGCGCAAAAGAAGAGTACGAAAGGACTGAGTTATTTCCAGAGGGTATTTGCACGTCTAGATAACAGCAGCTTCTGGAGTGCCACTCCAGCGGGCCTGACAGCATGCAAGTTCCTGAGCTTTAAAGGAAAAAGGGGAACTCACTGCTACTTAACCTCCTGTTTTAATCCTCTGACCTCTTTAACTATCCCGAAATTCCTTGATTCCCCTTTTTTTAAAGGAGAAATACTGTCTGTGAGGAGTTAACTGGTGTTTCCAATTGAAAATAAAAGTGAAATTACAAGTTGGCCAGCTGATTTTTAGGTGAAGATTCCTAAGATTTGAAGTTTCTAAGAAAATTAGTATTAGTTGGAGATAAACTTGCTCTAAATATTTTTTTAAATGAATAAATTATAATACTTTTGCAGCTCTAGCACAAAATTAGCTGTTTACAGTTTTCAGCTAAAAGAGGATGATAGTGTAGATGTAGCATCTATAGCAGTTCTCATTGCTATGAGAAAAGGTATTTTTTTTTGTGCAGAGCTAAATGCAATAATTGTTTTTGTATGATGATTTTGTGCTAGCAACAATTTTTATTGTAAATTATTTATTTTAGTTGATCTTGTTACATGGTGGTCATCTGTTCACTTTAGGCATCGGTTACAGTAATTTATTTTTAAGAGATATTTTAAAATAGAATACTCATAGAACAAGTGGTAATTGATGTGACTTGTTTTACTTTTGAATGCAGATATCAGATCTGCAGAAGTGATATACAGATGATTTTTTTCAAACTTTTATAGTTCTCATGTTACAAGCCAGAGTGGTATAACCTCTGTTTATAGAATATTTGCTAAGTGTATATTGCCACCTCAAAATATTTAATAATTCTTCCTTAATATGAAATTTATTAATATAGGTAAGAATTTTTGATGGATTAAGTTTTTTAAACACCTGAGTAACTTGGGCATTCTCATAATGTAGTTGAAATAAACTGCATATTGTAAAAGCAACTTTGTTTTGTTAAAGTTCAGCTGTATATTAAAAAAAAAAAAACAATAAAATCTCAGAAACCTCTTGCTACTTGACAGCTGCCGCGAAAATAGTAAGAGTACAAGGTGCTAACAAAAGCAATTGTAAACAAGCAGAAATACATTAATTCATAAGGATTCTAACAGATTTTCTTGCGCCTGGCAAGAAGTTAGTTCACATAAAAAAGTAGTATTTTCACAGCAGTTTCCATGGAAGTCTCTAAGAAATGAATGCTTATGTGACCCTAACGAAGGAGGCAGTGTCCTCAAGTGCTTGTTCTGAAGTGTTCAGAAGTTAAATATATTGGACTTATTTGGTGTGAACTACATGGAGAGGTCTCATTTTTTTGTTTGATTTGGGGCTTCTTGTGTCACTAAGTGCAAGCTCTCACCTCTTTATTTAGGGTCTACATGCAAAAGGTAAGAATAGATAGTTGTTATCAGTGTAGTATCCTGCTAGTAACAGCTACTGTGAGCTGTCAGGGAGCATCTCAGCTCTTCTGAATGGATGATGTCTGAGCCTGATAAGTCCTTTGGAATTGTTACAGCATTTGGGTGTGGTTCTGGGGTAGGGTTCGGCGTTTTTATTTTGGGGTTTGGGAGGGTTTTTTCCTTTGATATGATATAGTTACTGTAGTTTCTTTAATGTGATTTAGTTACTCCAGGGGTTGGTCACCCCACAGGGGATGCTAGTCTTCCCTTAGGGAAGGAACTTAAGGTTCCCATAAAGTCTTGATTAATGCCCCATCAACACCTTTGCTTGTACCTCACTTTAGTCAAAAAGGAGCCATTTATTATGGGTAAAAGGGTTACCCAGTGCTCAGGGGATACCCATGGCTCAGGCGTGCTGTTTGCAGTAATACTGACTCTGTAAGGCCTGTCTCCCTTTAATACTGACTTGATTACTTTGATCACTTAAAACCTGGAGACAGAAGACATCCTTCTGCACATCAGCTTACTTGGATTTAGTCTTATCCTGGTTATTAGGGGAGAAATATGAGAGCTTTGGGGATTTGAGGCTCTAGATGTAGAAAACCAGGCAGAAGGGGAACCCCTGTCCATTGATAACTTGTAATGTTGAGATTTTACCCACGGTTCCTGTGCATCATCCATTTATATCCGAACAGGAAAAATACTTGATCTTGCTATCATGGCTGCTTGAAAGAGCTTTAAATTAACAAGGTGATGACTTTCAATTCCAGGGTGCCTTGCTATTAAAATTGTCAGTCATCTTTGGAACTCCGTGAGTGTCAGACCTCCACAGCCTGCTCTCCCACTGGCTACACTGTAGCTTCATAAAAGGTCTTACTGAGGATGCCAGATAACCAGACTGAATATTTTCTATATGCAGGGAAGGCCAAATAGGACTGAGGCCCTTTTATTTACTCACAGCTGAAGCTACTCAGTTGGCATACACAGTCATGAAGGTATGATGAAGTAATAATTCTGGTTCCTGTCTAATGTAGAGCTCACCAACTAGTGGAGGAAAAGGTAATTATTCCTGTATTCTAACTTGGCTTAAAGGCCTCCCACATGGAGAGGTGCAAGTTTTAGCTTTTTGACTACACTGGATGCAGTCTGCCAATCCTTTTTTGATTTAACCAGAAAAGTAAGATTCATGGCTGAAAACAGCAAGTCAGAAACTGAAACCTTGCTGAAACTAGATTCATTAACCCAGGTTTAATCTTAATACTTGGTGATTTCATCTAGTCTTCGACACAGTTCAGCTGTGTAGAAACCATTAAGATGATGGGAATCCCTACTACTTTTCCGCCTTTCGACTACATATAGCTGTGAGTAGTTTTAGGGTTTACAAATGTTAAAGCAAACTAATCAAGACAAATCAAAAGTTTTTATTTAGTGTAAAGTCAGAAATACAACATCTTTAAAATGCTCATAAGTTAAATGAAGGCCACAGTAGTGGGATGTAAAATCGCAGAGAGATGAAATAACTACTATATACACACTGATGGATAAAGTATCACTATCCAATCTACAATACAAACCCGGGATTTTAAGATTACTTCATCTTGGGAAGTTGCTGAAGTCTAACAAGCGCATGCTCTGTTACCAGGTGAGCCCCTACAGTGCAGATGGAGATGGGCAGTGATGTGGCTTTAAAGCTACAATGGCTGTGATGCGATGCAACCTTTAGAAGTGCTTGGTGTGACTGTTCTTTGTTTAATGCTCAAACTCTGGACTAGCCATGTGATCTACTCTACCTGCTAGGATTAATTTAGAGTTCCAGTAATGTGAGAGAGTAGTCCATAGAAGGTTAAAAATAATTTTAAATGTTTACAAGAACCCCATGACGCAAAGAGTACCACCCATTTGTGTCTTGGTGGGCAAAACATTTGTCATCATTTGGTTTCTTGAGCCAGACTTGTAAACAGCCCTCAAGAGCAAACTTAGTGTTTTTTTGGCAGTCTTTTGTCTTTGCTGACACTCCAGTGAGCGCTGTAGAGCCATTTTAAATGGGGAGAAATGGAAAACCTCATCTTTTGGAGGGGGGAACCTCACAATGTCAACTTGCACTCAAGACACAGCAGTGCTTAGCTGCCAAGAAACTTGGGGTTTGAGACAGATTTATCCTACTATTCCACTGATTAATTCACAGCTAGGTTGAAAGAGATCCTTGAACTAGTGGTTTCCTTTTAAAAGGTCAAATACAATGGCTTCATTACTGAAGAGATACTCAGTTCCAGCTAACATCCATAAATAAGTTTGCAGTGCTGCTGTATGGCAAGATGAAACAGATGCAACTAAGTACTGATAAAACTTACATCATTGTTTGTATTTCAGCTTCTGCTCTGCCTTAATACTGATTATGCTGGACGTGCTGCCTCTGTGGGAAGTGCTCAGTCCCCTAATCTAGGCGAAGCTCCCTTTCAAAACCTGCCAACAGCCAAGCCAGTAAAACCAGCACCTTGACACCAGGCACTGCTCAGAGCAGCACGGCTTTGAGAGGCAAAAGCCACCTTTGTTCCACTGCAGCCTTCTGCCTTGCGTGTTTTTATGCAGTGCCTCGAGAAGCACTTCACAAGCTCAGGCTCTGGGGCAGGAAAAGAGCTGCTCTGAGGCCTGAAGCAAAGACAAGTTTGGCACTTCAGGAGGAAAGTAAAAGGTGGGAAGGGAAGAAGACTTCTCAGTTCCTCACTGCAAATTTTTCATAATGAGCAGGAGGAACATTGCCGACCTTCTGTTTCTGAAAAGCTCATCACCCAGGTTTTTAAATAACTTCACCACACAACTGAAAAACCTCAGGAGGATCATACATTACAATGCTGTGCCTGATCGTTCTTTGAGGAAATGGGAAAGTGAAAATGGTTTCAAGTGTACACATTACAGCACTCCGATACTGCATCAGTTTGGTGTTTCCCTGATTGAGTAGCCATGCTCCTCTTCCCCTTATCCTCCCCCTTCCCAAAAAATCTTAAGTGTTTTCCTGTATGCAAGCCCTACAAACAATGTCATACTGTTATTACTTCACAGAAATGCTTAACTGGTTTGTAGGTTCTTGTTTTAAGTTGCTTTGCAGAGCTATGAACAGTACTACACAATAATTAAATATATCTCATGAAAAAAGTGATGCAATTAGACTGAATATTTTTATCAAATAGGGCTTCAATACAATATTGTAACCTACTTTGCTAGTCAAGAACTCTACCCTAAGACCTCAAAGAGTGCCAGCAGACCTTTGTTTAACCTGACAAACTGAATCCAATTTTAACAAGATATGCTCATTTGTAAAACGAATATCAAAATTTAGTAATTATCTACACTACATTTGCACATTGCTTAATACACAAACTTATGTCTCCTGTCCATGATAATGCTCTTAATTCTGTTTATCACCAAAGTTTATAATCTGTAAGTATCCAGTAAGCCACAAACTAAGGTATTTTAGCTCATGTAGCCTATGCCAGTTAAAACAAAAAAAGACAGCAGCAATACAACAGCATCATCTGTGAGTCAGCCCTTACTTCCTTTTGCTTTTTGTGTCGGTTGTTTGGAAAACACTAGACGCTGACATCAGATTTTCTATATACTGTCCAAGAACTTGGTTTTCTGATTTCAGTTTCAAGTTTTCTTCCTTAACAGCATCTACTCGTGCTGAGAGATCTGCGAAGGTGATATTATAAGAAAAGCATTAGACACTATTGCATGCAATAATGAATATGTTCTACGGGCCTATATCAGACATCACACCTTTAATGCAGGAAACGTTACCACAAGGTATTATGCTAACATAGTAATATGCTATTCGTTCGCGAAGAGACTGGCCATTATTATTATTTATTAATATGCTAACATTCTGCTAATAAAGTTTTACCAAAAGCCCATTTTTCCTGTATTATTTTGTAGTACGGTGTTTGGATAAACTTGGTAAACATACTCCTGGCCTGTATCTTTATTATTTTCTTGAATTTTTTAATTAAGCTACCGCAAACTGAACTACTTGGAAACTGACTCAAAGATGTGTGTCAGGTAATAAGCAACAAATTACCGTATCGCCCCTCCTACTTGATGGGTATTATGAGTCAAGCAAACACAGTCTTGCATAAAGAGGAAGGAAAAAACCTAGTTCCAAGACCTCGCCTATGTACCTTCAACTGCTTTGACATACTTCTGGACACTGTGGCTAAGGTAGAGCAGAGCAGTGAGGTTCTCTTCTTTTGCTTATTACTGTGTGCTTGTAAAAAAATCTGATGTGCCAAGCTGCTAACCTTCAAGTGTGTGCTGCAGTTCCAAAACTTGATTAATAAGCCGTGTTTTCTCTTCTAATTCCACCTGATTCTCAGCCTCAACAGCTGCAATAAATCATGAGAGTTTTAGTGCAACCTCTGCAAACAGCTGGAAATAAGTAGAAAGAATAACAAGAACATTAAGAACTTATACCATCCATGTCGGCATTCATCACTGTAGAATGGGCTCTTTCCACTTTCGAAGAGCGCTTCCTTGAGAGATGCTCTGCTTAAAGAAAAGAACACGGAGGCAAACTGTTAATGGAACTGCTCCCATATTTGGATTTCAGGTGCATTTTTCTAATTGGCAGTGAAAGGCCTGCTGTACTTAAGGCAGAGGCACATTCCTTACCATTCTTCAATTGTTTTTCCTAGGCCCTTATGTGGTATGTACCTATGGTTCTTCGGGTAACTGTGCTTCTGTTTACAAAAATAACCCATCCGGATGCCTCTAACGCATTAAGATATCGCCGTCCCAGTGATGTAATTGCCGCCTTTCTCGGCACCGATCATTCTGGAATTGGCTATTCCCGAACGCAGCAGCGCAAGGGCCCCGCTTTGTCGTCTCCCCCCCCTCTTCCTTCGCCGGTGCCCGGGCCTGCGGGACAGGCGTGCCTTCTCCGGGGCTCGGCGCGTCCCCAAATTCCCGGCCCCATCCCGCCCGTGCCGGGGCCGGGGTGGAGGCAGCGCCGCAGGAGGGGCTGCCCCGCGGGAGCCACACGGCAGCGCCGCGGCCCTGTCCGCGACCCCGCTCACCCGCCTCTCCCTCCCTCTGTCTGTCCGTCTGTCCTTCCACCCACCGTCCCGGCGCTCCCTCCCGATCTCCCGGCGCTCCCAACCTGCCGCCTCCCCGCGGGCTGCGCCCCGGCCCGGCCCGGCCCCGCTCCGCTCGCTCCGCGCCTGCGCCGCGTGGGGGCGGGCACGGGGCGGGATGCGGGAAGGAAGGACTGACGGATTGATGGAGGGATGGGTGGATGGATGGATTCCGGCGGGATGTGGCGGGGGAGAGGCTACGCTCCCCCCCCGGCCGCAGTTTGTGCCTGACTTACGGGTCGCCTGAGTCGCGCCCGGCCCTTTCCCGTCAGATCCCGCCGAGTTGCCAATAAGATAATGAGAGTAACTAGCACGAAAGCGTTTAAATTAAATTAAAGGAAGAATGTTTCCCGCTGCGAGGGTGGTGAGGTACTGGAGCATACTGAAGTCGTGGATGCCTCATCCCTGTGTTCAGGGATGAAGCTTTGAGCAATGTGGTCCAGTGGAAGGTGCCCCTGCCTGTGGCAGTGGGGTTGGAACTGTATGATCTCTAAGGTCCCTTCCGACCCAAATCAGTCTGTGATTCTAAGTAAATGTCAACATTAATTCGTTCTGAGCTCACACACTGCCGGTGTTCAGAGCAGTGGTCCTCAGCAGCCAGTCACTCTGTGGTGTTTTCAGAAGAATTCAAGGAAAGGGATCTGTTCCCTGGTGTAATCCCTTCAGATTTACGTAGGTTGGTAAAGCCTGAGGAAGGTCAGAGAAAACCAATAGTGTGTGTGGCTGCTGTGAACTCCCAGGTGCTCATATGTGGAACTCTGGGAGAGAGGAGCCTCCCGGCTGGAGTTCATCAGGGTTTACCTGTGCCGGTTCAGTGCCACGTACACCTGGCTTAGCTGCTTCCAGTCTGGCAGATCAGCAAGCCTTTTCCACAGCAGTGTCTGGATTATTGGTAATTTAGCTTCTTGCTTCTGGATCTCACAGCATGAGAGATCAAATCACACAGGAACCTAAGGAACTTCATGGAGTTACTCTCACCTAATAACTCAGTAGTTCCAAAACTACACTCCTGTCTTTGTTCTTTCCCTGGTTCCCTGGAGGGAATAACGTGCTGCACAGGGTCCTCACTTTGACCTTACAGCACAGTCTGTGAAAGGAATGAGAAACATTCGTGACCCGAGCTAATTTTAGTGGCTTCACTGAAGTGACTGCACTGCATAACCTGTAGTACCCTTGTTCCATGTAGTTTGAACCATATGTTGCAGTAAAATATATCCATACTGTATCCCTAAATTGCAGGAATATATCTAGTCATAAATAAGTAATTCGATGCTATGCAGATGCACGGGGAGATAAAGGCATTTGGGAAGTGAGCCCTCTACTGTATTTAAGTACACTTCAGAAAGTGTGTATTTCTAATATCTGCATCTTCTGGCTGCCTCCCCGGTATTGCTATCACTGTGTTAATAACATTTTTAACCTTACAATCCGATAATTTCATATTAGACTGAATGCTGTTCAGGTTATGAATTATTGTAATTAGAGTCCTGCTGTCTGTCTGTACTGGAAAATGAGTCTGTTGTCAGTTCCACCAGCTAGTATACTCAAAAGTATATCACCTTCTCTACAAAGACTGTTTTAAACAGCAATCCTCCTTATTACTTGGAAGCAGTGCTCTCAGGTGGTTGCTGGGCTTGTTAGTAACTCTCCTTGATTGCTATTTTTAAAATGACAAGTGCTTCTCATACTGTTTTGATCTTGCTTGCTGCACCAGCTATGTGGCAAGCCTGGCAATCAGCAGGTTCTCACAATTCTTTCTAACGAGACAATCTCCAGCACTTCAATTAAGAGGGGGAAAAAAATATGGCCAGAGTCTGCAGGTTCATACAGATGGATGGGGAGCTTGCTTAACTGGTAAGGGACTTGCTTTGTTTTATACTGTAAGCCAGAGGGGAATATTGCAGGCTTATCTTGGGGAAATGCACCTCTCTGCTGCAGAAACTCCACTTTTCTTACTGTATTATTTTCTTGCTGTATATTGTATTATTGACTAAACTGTCCCAAAATGAGCAAAATGGGAAGATCCTTGATGTTAAATTACAGGACAGAATGGAAACTAGACATATTATCTTCTATGCTGTTGTAGCCAAAACAGAAATAATTTCAAGAGCTGCTGGTTTACCTGCTGGTTCCTTTTTAGTACCTGTACCATTGAGGGTTCATTCTACTTTGTGTGGTTGTGGTTTCTGACTGTAGTATTTTCTTTTGATTCTTAACTCTGGTTTTTGAGCATGAGCATGAGGATGAAACTCCTTTTCAGAAGTTAACCTATGTGAGAGGTTTTTTGGTCTTTCTTTACAGAAAATTGTCTTTTTCTGAGCCTCCACTGTCAGCATTGCAGAGGGGCTGTCTACAGAGAGCTATGTGTTACTGAGTTAGTGTTAAACAATTGCACAGAAGCACCCTTTGGTTTGTACTGCAGTAAACTCAGACATACTGGATCTCACACAGTGCATCTTCCTACTCTGAGTGCTTAGTTTGAATCCCTTTTCCCTAGTAGATGAGATTGTGCAGCTGGTACATGCTCCTTGGCCCCAACATTTAGAAACTCTTTTTTTTGTGACCTGGCTGTGTCCCAAATCCTTATTGTGGAAAGATTCATGCACGTTGCCCTTTTTATTTCCCTGTCCTTCATCCCCTGTTTCCAAGGGAGGTATATTTTAAGTACTGGGGCAGCAGGGAGCAACCCTACTGTGCACATCCCTGGTGTGCACAGTCCAGGGACCAAAACTGTTGGATTGATACTGGTGGGTGCGAATTCCACAGAGACAATGCCTAGAACATCCTGTGTTACCATAAAAAGGTTTGCATTCCTAACCCTCCCTCTATTTTCTGGAGCAAAGAAATCAATTCCAGGATTCTAAATATCCCGTACATTAGCCGTTTTAAACAAACAAACACCACACATAAAAACCCCTTGAAACACAAACCAAAAAACACCCAAACCTAATACACTACAGAAAAAAATCTCACAGCCCAAGGTATTCTTTTATGAGAAATCAACCAAAACAAGAGAAGTTTAACATACAGCACGACTCACCTATTGGTTTTTCAAATACCTTACCTCACCTGTCTTGCTTTGGGTAATAGAATATCAGTTAAATTTTTGTGCTCTTTGAATTTCAAGATTTAGGCATTTAGAGTATAACCAAAACAGTGAGGTTCCTTTTATAATGCAGAATGTGCCCTAGGGAAGGCACAGATATGCATAATGCAACACCAAGTTGTGTGGGAGTGTTGATCTGCTGAGGGGTTAGAAGGCTTTGCAGGGAGATCTGGGCAGGCTGGATTGACCAACAGTATGAGGTTCAACAAGGCCAAGTGCTGGGTCCTGCACTTCAGTCACAATGACCCCATGCAGCGCTACAGGCTGGGCACAGAGTGGCTGGAAAAGGACCTGGAGTTGCTGGTCCACAGCTGGCTGGGCATGAGCTAGTGTGTGTGTGCCCAGATGGCCAAGAAGGCCAATGGCATCCTGGTCTGTATCAGAAATAGTGGGGCCAGAAAGAACTAGGGCAGTGATTGCCCCCCTGTAGTTGGCACTCCTGAGGCCACACCTCGAGTGCTGTGTCCAGTTTGGGCCCCTCACTACAACAGAGACATTGAGGTGCTGGAGTGAGTCCAGAGAAGGGCAATGGAGCTGGGGAAGGGTCTGGAGGACAAGTCCTATGAGAAGTGGTTGAAGGAGATGGGGTTGTTCAGCCTGGAGAAGAGGAGGAGGCTCAGGGGAGAGACCTCATCACTCTCTACAATTACCTGAAAGGAGGTTGTAGGCAGGTGGGTGTTGACCTCTTCTCCCAGGTAACTAGGGATAAGAAGAGAGGACATAGCCTCAAGCTGCACCAGGGGAGATTCAGGTTGGACATCCAGAGGAATTCCTTCACAGAAAGGGTTGTATAACATTGAAGTGGGCTGCCCAGGGAGGTGGTGGTGTCATCATCCCTGAGAGTGTTCAAGAAACAATTGGACATGGCACTCAGTGTCATGGTCTAGTTGACAAGGTGATAATTGGTCAAAGGTTGGATGATCTCAGGGGTCTTTTCCAACCTAATTGATTCTATGATATCTGTAGAGTAAACAAATAGTACCTTCCATTTTTGGGGTGTGCTTGGTGTCCCCTTTGGCTGGGGGTGGCCGTTTCAAGCCCTTGTATAATAATTCTTGCTTTTAACAGCCTGTAGTATTTTGTTCTCTCTTGTGTTAGGAAGTGTCGTGTCTTTGTTCTGTAAGTTGTTAGCATGGCAAGTCTTGCCTGAGGACCATTCCCAGGAGAACCTGAAGCAATCTTTTCGAAGTCTGGCATCTGTTTGACAGGGATCTGGCAGCATTTGCTTCACTATGGTTTCCCATTGACTGGGAAGGACAAAATTAATGAGGTAAATACTAATTATATGTAACTGTGAGCAAACTGGCCATCTTTGCTGTGTAGCTGTTTACTTTGAGTCTTTGGAACATGCAGCACGAGGCTGAGAGATGGGGCACAACCTGTGTTCACAGAGCTTTTTTTTTTTTTTAGATTTGTTTGTAAACTTAGTGCTCTCTACTTTGGAGAACATACACCTTATTAAGAAAATGAAATAATATTCCCAAACACTGGAAATTGTTTTCTTCTGTGGAGCAGCATAACAACATTTCAATAGCTCTGTGCAGTTTAAAAGAAGAAATAAGAGTATTCTCTTTGTTACTAGAAATACTTGAACACTGCCCTAAGTTATGTTCCACTTTTTGGTTTACTAGACTGTTTTTACATGTTGCACTAGATTACTCACTTCAGGTGAGTGGATTTTCTCACTGAAGAGTTATAAAGAGAACTCACAAGTTGTAGTGCTGTGTCAGAGCTCCTGATGGCAAAGAAGAAGTGCTAATCCCTTTCTTTATTACTAATTTGTTTTATGTTTTCTAAGGCGTTTGGCTAAAGCCGAGGAAGCATTCATAATATTGTCACTACATTAAATTTATAGCAACAACAAGTTTCACTTCACAAATGCAGTTATCTCTACTTGTACCCTAAGTTCCGGTTAGACCTTCTAAAACTAACTGATGTCACTGGCAAATGGAATTATTTTGTTCAGTTTCACTGAAAGAGCACTTTTTTCCTTAAAATACAACACGTGCACGTACACTTAATAACAAAAAGGTGAGGAGAGGATTTTATTGCCCTGGACCCAGACCCTAAGTCACTGCTGCTAAAACAAATGTTTTCTGACTTTCTCTTTCTGAAACTCTGGTGTACGTCTTGTTTTTTCCATGGCACACAGTGCAAACTAACAACTCTTTGACTTCCTTTTTGGCAGTGTTACAGACACCAGAGGCGCCTGCCCAAGCTGACCAATGACAGAGGTTTCACTGTTCCCCACTACAACAAAAATGTGTTCTTCTCTCCTCTGTCTGAGGAAGGCATTGTACATATTTCTGAGATGAGTTTGCTATTAGAACTGTACTGTTTCCTCCTTTGGCTAGTTATTGCCACAAAGAAAAAGACAAAAAGGAGCACAGACGGCTCAATCCTTTTTCCCTGCAATGCTAACTTGCAGGACCCTTTACATCGAACCTTCATAGTTTTGTTTCTCTGCAGAAATAACAGACTCTGGGGTGGGTTTTTTTCATGTAATGTTGCTTTACACCCAAATTCTCTGCAACTCTTGTTACTCTTTCAGAGTAACCTCAAAAGGCCTTGTGCACTTCCTTGTGCAAATTTACAGTTAGGGACTTCTGTCAAATGCAGAATTTGAGTATTTCTTTGTGCTTTTTCCAACCAAATCAAATGTCACAAAATGAGCAACAACTTTGGCTTACATTGTACTAACTCTTGTCTTTGTCCTTAGTTATTGTGCATGTTTTGGTTCTGCCTTAGGTCCTGAGTGAGAATGAGACCTCATTATGTGACATAACCTGTGAGCACACAGCTGGGATAAAAAAAATGCAGTCTCTTCAGAAAGTCTACAAAAGACAAGCCTCAGAAAGTGATATTTTCTCTTTATCCCTGAAGAGGCCTGGCGTCATAAAGCTACATATAGGTGTATAGTCTATGTATAGGTACATCCCATCCTTTGCAGGATTGAGCATGAGTGCAAATGTTCTTGTTTCTGCTCTGACACCACAATAATCCATTTTTAAAGAGATTGAGGAACTGGACTCTTTGCAGCTCTAGGCTTTGAATGCCAACATATATGACATAACACTGTCCTGTTAACAACACGATCTTCACTGGCTATAGGTTTGCCACCAGATTTTGTGGAAGGATATTTAGCAAGGTTCCATAAAACTTTTATGGGTAACTTAATAAGATGAAAAACTGTTTTGTCTTTCTATAAGTTAGGCCCAAACATTTTGAGGTTTGTATCTGCTTTTAAAAGGATGGGTTTACATGAGAAATGTGGTCATTAGTGCTGGTTTTCTGTAGAGTATTTGAAAAAAGAGTAAGATAATTTCTAGGTGCTTTACAAAGAGGAAAGTGTGCCTTGATTTACTTATTCAGCGTTGATCAGAAGTACAATAAAGAATTTTTTGCAGCTATTGGACATCATCTTACTGTTTTGTTTTACTTCTGGTTTAATTTCCTCTGTGCTTTTGTGTGGGTTGGTTGTGTTTTGAGGGAACTTTATCTAGTGCTATGAGTTTCTAAATTAAAAGGTATTTCTTTTATTAAAGTTGAAAATATTTTCACAAATGCTGTTAGCAAATGCTTTCTTTAATGTCATACACTGTTGATACTGCTATGGAAATACTTATTGAGGAGTTTCTGTCTTCTTACCATTTTGTCTTTGTCTTGATTTACATGGAAGTGTTTTATTTTTAATACCTGCATACTTAACAAATAGAGAAACATCACTATTTTGAAAGAGCAATGGCTATTAAATATTCATGCATTGCGCTCGGTTAATCAGGCTCAGTAACACCTGTTGCTCTGACACAATGGTTTTTCACTGTACTAAAGAAACTTTGATATGAAGGCTTTATTGTGATTATGCTTCAGATTGTGCATATGTAGCAAGTTATTCTGCTTGTCTGTTTAGTATCTTTTCCAGCATGTTTTAAGAAACAGAGGGGAAACCTTTTGCAATAACACATGTGCTCAAGTTGCATGTAAATCATTATCATTCTCAGGCAAAGTCCACTTATGATCTACATACTGCAAGCCTAGTTCCTTCATTCCGTGCTTGAACTTGCTGTTTTCTGTCCTAAGGAATCTTTTTGTCTCTCTCACTGTGTAGATTTTTAGCTTCCCTGCTCTTCTTCGCCAACCTTACAGCTATGAGGCACACCCCACTCTCTTGTTAGCTTCAGTGCCCTGGAGTTACTGTAGTTAGTCTTAACTTCAGCTGGGAGAGATAAGGAAAACTGCTTCCTACAAAATGTATCATAGTCTCTTCCTATTATAGGTTAGGAATTTTCTCACACCTTTCTAACCTCCAGGTGTTGCCATCTGGCAGAAGGAATGGACCCCAGTTATCATGTTCAACATGGAACTTACTGTGTTTACCCTCCGTGCCCTCAAGCTATAAGCCTGCCTGAAAATGTCGCTTATTTTCAGTTATTCTGATTTTTCTTCTGCTTTCTGAGTGACTGTCCCCACCTTCTCACTACTAAGGGAAAAGCTGTAATACTGGTAGAAGATCTTCAATAAAGATGCCTTGTTTATGGTCCTCTGTGCTGTGGACATGAGCTTTCTCTTTCTGACCTGTGTTACTGCAGTCAAGAGTCTGGTAAATCTGAAGTGCTCAGTTTCTGAGGTGCAGTACAGTCCTATTTGCCCTGTTGTTGAGCAGCCATATTTTATAGCAGTGATGTCTTTCAGCGGCGGACTGAGGTGCCCACTGTCAGTAGTTGCTTAAATGAGAGAGTTTTTAACCCCGTGCCTCTGTTTTCTCATGGGTATTACCATTTTCCAAGCTGCAAGGGTGCTGAGGTTTGAGCAGTAAAGGAGGCTAGTGGGTGTTTGCCTTCTAAAGGAAGCGACTTGACTTCTTCTGAAAGACTAAGCAAGCCATATGGCAAAACCACCCTTCTGTGAGACAGGGCAGATTCAAACATATCCAGTATTATGGAGTCATCCCTAACTCAGATGGAGGTTTGCAGCTCAGTTCTAGATGTTTTGCAAGGACAAGACAATCTTGCCACTGAATGTTGCCCCTCATTTGTTCTTGAGGTGATTCCAGCTGTGCAGCGAGTCACGAAACAGTGTCACTCTCATAGGATACCTTTTCCCTGCTCTTCTATACCCTGCTACGGGAAAAGGGTGAGATTCACAGCCAGGAGAACCCTTCATTATTGCACAGCTTGGACCAAGGTCTGCCAAATTGTCTTCTTGTGAATAGTTCAGGTCAACCACATCGTGATGTCATAAGGCTATATGCTGTATAAATTAAGTGCATTCAAATATCCAACTCAGCACTAATATTGAATTGCTAGAAAACTGTGTTCTAAAAATAAAATCATCTCAATGTTTTGCTTGGTGGTTGTTGGTTTTTTTATATAGGAGGTAAATATAGCAGGCACAATAACATTCTTTGTGCTAAAAAAAAAAGTGGGTGGTGGGGAGGGAATAGGACTCATTCATAAATAAGCCCTCATAGCTCATGTAAATTAGCACAGCTCTTTATCAGCCACACTGATGTGATCAAGTTGATACTCTGGCCACACCTTTCTAAATAATTTATTATCAATTCATATTAACTCACTTCTTTTTCTGGTATGTAGAACTGTCCTATGTCCCCCTCCAAGTAATTTTTATTCCATAAATTGGGGAGGAGGGTGGGGCAAGGAAAGCAGTCTTTGTAGGCTCTTTAAAAACAATTAAATGCTTAATAGTGGGAATTTAAATTATCAGCTTATTTCCATTACTAATTAATTTGCAACAGTTCTTGTGTTGCAAGCTCTCACTAGAGTATGTCAAAGAGATTATTGCTCTGTATTCAGGAGGAAACGCCAGCATTATCTGTATTTTATTTGATAGTAGTAACTACTGAGTTAACCTTTCTGTAACACTGTTCCTCTAAAAAGTGAAAGGCTCTGTGTGCTCCATTGATGAATGTATATTACTACATGTTAATATGTGAAAATTGTGGTACCCCGGATACCCCCAAAATCTCAATTCTTAACAAATCACAGGGCTTATTCAACCACACAGCTAAAAGAAGTTTACGTGAAGGCATTTGCTCGAAATACATTGTACCCAGTAGTCAAGATCTACAAATTTGTCTGCTCACACGGTGCTATTGTTAAGCCCATGGATTCTGCATTGTATCAGTAGAGTACTGCAGTTTCTTACCTGAATCATCTGCCAAAGAAATGTTGGTGAAGGTACCATCCTCCTCATCCAAAGGTAACTCCATTTTGCTGCCTTTTTTCCAAAGTTTTTGAGCTGTGTTTTAAGTGTGGCAGTTGTCAGCCATTTCTGAGAACACACGTGACTTCTCTGGTTCAATCTTTAATGAGTCCCACACACAGGTGTTGCTGTGTACTGTTGGCAGCTGCACACGTCTTACTCGGTGTGGCGTCTCCTCTGAACCTTGAGCTCTTTCCCGGAAATTGTTAAGCTGGAAGGTGTCTGAGTTCTAACTGCTTCGTCACGCACGTGCTGAGCAAACACTGTTATTACAGGTTCTTTCTGTAGCTTTCTGTTACTGATGTTCTTTATTTTCTCTAGGACTGCGTATGGAGTTTTGTTGGAGGGGTTTTTGATAGAGAAAAGAGGGGAAGTAAGTTAGTGTTCAAAAAATGTTGCTTTCAGTCCAAGACAGTGCGATGAACAGATTTGAGAGCAACAAATTTAGAATATAATCTTCAAATACTTAGGGATGTGAATGATTTTATTTACATGAACACCTGCATCAAAACCAATCAGGTAAGGGGAGCAAGTGAAGTTGTATACAAAAGCATCTGATGTTCCATCATAGCAGATAGGAGGAAGGAAGAGAAATCAAGTTCACAGAAAAACCCACTTTAATCATCTTGTTTTGCTTCTGAAAGAATGTTGAACATAGTTTGAACACATAAAATAGAAGTTTTCTGAATTTACAGTTTGCCTTTCACAGTTTTGGGCCTAATCTTGATTTGGACTCCTGAGACAGCTTCTAGGTACAAAGAAAATTTGTGAAACTGATGATGATTCCACCTCCCTGGGCAGTCCATTCCAATGTTTAACAATCCTTTCTGAGAAGAAATTCCTCCTGATTCTATATCATCTATAACATGCCCAGATTTACACCTATGAAATATATACATATATATATTTTATATATACACATATAACTACACAAACAAAAGTACTATTGCAGTAGTTACTGATCATCCCCCTAAGATGGTTGCTGAATTCCTGTTGTCCATGACTGGTGTAAGTGGAGCGGTCCATATTCATTTCTCCATGGTATGTACAGTATACAATGGCAGTGTCATTTAGTATTGTATATGCAATTCAGCATTACAGGCTGTTCTCACCCAAAATCAGGTCCCCTTGAGGTACGCATCGCATTTCCCCGTCCCTCTGCCTGCCAAGTGCACCCAGGTCCCTGAGCAAAAATAATCCCATGGATGGGTTTGCCATTTCTTGAGGCAGGACTAATCCAGGTTGTCTTTCCTAACAAATTCCTCACATGCACCATGGAGACTTTTCCCTCCATCTGTGGTATGTAAGGGTTCTCACTGGGCAGGGACAGCCTTTGGTGTTAACTGACCACATGGCCTCTGCTAAATAGAGATCCCAGTGTCTGAAGGTCCCACTGTTCATTGCCTTCGCTGTGTTTTTTTTTAGCCATCCATTGCACTGTTAATTTTTCCCACAGGCTGGTGAATGACAGGGAATATGATATACCCAGTCAATACTGTGCTCTCTGGCCCAGGTGTTTATGAAGATATTCTTGAAATGAGCCCCACTATCCGACTCAGTTCTCTCTGGAGTGTCATATCACCACAGGACTTGCTTTTCAAGGTCCAAGAGGGCTTTCAGCTCTGCCATCTGGCTTGGCTCACCTTGTCCCTCACTGGCTTCTGTGACTCACCACATGGGACTCCTTATGGCAGCTTTCCAGTTTTGATTTGTCCCTACGATATGGCAGGAGCCATCAGCAAAGAGAGCATGTTGCCTTTCATTTTCTGGTAGCTGATTGTATGGTGAGGCTTCCTCAGCATGTGTCACCCGCTCCTCTTCAGATGATAGACTGAAATTTGCACCTTCAGGCCGGTTCATGATGATCTTCAAGAGGCTCCAGGAAGGACCATTCTCCCTGGCTGTGATGCAGAGCACGTTTTTTATGTCCTGTCCTGTCCTGACTGGCCCAAAGGCTACTGCATAAACAATCTCTTGTTTGATCCGTTCAAAAACCTGTTGTTCACAAAGCAGAGAGGGTTTGCAATCTGACTGTACTCTGGGATGTGCATCCTCCAAAAACCCACAGTGCCTAGGAAAGCCTGTGTTTCTTTCTTGCTGGTCAATGGAGACATAGCTGCTATTTTGTTAACCACGTCCATTGGGGTCTGGCAGCATCCATCATGCCACTTTACTCCTAGGAACTGAATTTTGCTGGGCAGGTCCCTTGACCTTGCTTTGTTTAACCCCCAGGTCCTTTTCTGCTGGGCAGCTTTCCCACCGTGCTTCCCCCCAGCCTGTAGCACTACATGGCATTGTTGTGGCCAAAGTGTAAGACCCAGCACTTGACCTTGTTGAACCTCATACAAAAGCCCTCAGCCCATCAATCCAACCTGTCCAGATCTCCCTGCCCTCCAGCAGATCAACACTCCCATCCAAGTTGGTGTTGTCTGCGAACTTTCTGAGGGTGCACTAAATCCCCTCATCCAGATCATCAATAAAGATATTAAACAGGACTGAGCTCAATACTGAGCTCTAGGGAGCACCACTGGTGAATGGCCACCAACTGGATGTGGCACAGTTCACCACCACTCTAATGATACTATGCACTGGAACTGGTGCAGGAATTATAATGCAATGCTGCTATTTAGTTTTTTTCTTCTGATCTTTTAACTGCGTGGCTTTATTTTAGCTTTACTGCTGGTGTCAGTGACATTACTGACAGCCGCCCTCAGAGATAATTGAAAAACAAGCTCATCTTGCATTTTCAGAACTGTGTTGAGTTACTCATTTTTGCTTCATATTGATCAGAAGCAGTTCAAAACTTTACCTTACTGCTTTTGAGGTGTCCTGAGCAGGGCCAGGAGTTGGATTTGATGATCCCGATGGGTTGCTTTCAACTCAGTATATTCTGTGATTCCATGATTCTTGAGTAGTCTGTGTGAAGAGACCTACTGGATTAATCCCAGATCCTTGAGTATCACAAGGGGGGTCTGGATCAGTTGTTTTGGTTTTTTCTTTTTTTTTTCAGTGATGCAGCAGCATGCTTTAAAGCTCTCATGATGACGATAAAGCTAGAAAACATTTTGATGTTTTGTCTTTATTATGTCTTTTACTGTTCTCAGGCATGTTAAGCATAGTGGAATCATTTATTTAAGCAACTCAGGTTGGAAGGGCAGATTCTAAAAACATATGCAATTATACAATCTGTTAATCTGTTACCTCTAAATTTTGTAAAATTATATGCCGGTGGAACCCTAAGGTTGTCTGAACTGTGTAGCCCTCATCTAAAGGGTTTAATTAATTTCTTGAGCCTGCGTCAGTATTGTTCTACTGTATTGGCTGTATGGGTATCCTCTGGTAGATATAATTTACATGTAAATTATTAGCTGTTTTTAGACAGCCTGTCACAGTAGCCCAGTGAATATGGATGTTGTGCAGCTGTTATGCATGTTTAGATGAAAGGCATTAGCAAAAGTGTTGTAAAGTAAAAGCTGTATTTTGATAAGAGCCAGTAAGAAACACTCCTCAGGCTGAAGGAGATGATTCAGGGAGGAGTTTGGCTGCCTCCTGTGAGAGATACCAATCCCTGCAGTTTATGGAGTCAGGCTCTGGGTTTTGTGCCAAGTGCTTTCCACTCCATGTGGCACCAAGGAGCAGGTTACCTGAGGAGTTATTCATCCTGCCTTAGAGAGTCAAGACTCCAAGGCTCAAAAATAAGGCTGCTCTGCAAGTGTTTCAGAGCTCATTCAAGCTCCCTTTGAAAGAAGGGCCTTTGGACAGATTGCTTGTTCGCTTCATTTCCTCAGTCAATGCTTCTACCTCTGAAGGAGGAGGGAGGAAGGAGAAGGCAGAGATCCATGTGTTTGGGTGCATGTATCTAGCCATGTTCACATGTATGAAAACAAAGACCAAATGTGGAACTCAGGAGCTGCACTGTTTTACAGAAGCCCTTTGCTTTCCACGAGGACCAGGGAATCAGGTTTGTGGGAGATCTGTACAGCTTGCTCGTGGAAGTGGAGACTCATTTACCAGCAGAGAGAGGGATGGGGTTCAAAAGGAGTCTACAGATGTGATCTTATTTCTTTCTTGCCCAAAAGATTCTTTATGTTTAAACATACAGCTACATACAGTGTTCTGTAATTTTAAAGGCACTGGTAGAATTATATCCACAGTTTTCTTGTTTTTATGAGTGCTATGGTGAGAAACATTGTCTTTGGTGGTGGCCTGATATTTCATTAGTGAAGTAGTGGCTTTAGACAGGAGGTGCCATGTTAATGTAAAGTAGAAGTACCCGTTTCTTGCTGTCACCATGTTTGTTTTATAAGGGAGAACAGAAAGGAGCAGTAGCAGACAGGAACTCTGACCAGCTTAATATGGAAGCTACTAATGGAACTAACAAGGAGTTTTGGTATTTCCATGTGTGATTTATTTTCACTGGAGCAATGGGCATTAATGTAAAAGTTAATTTGGTTGTAAAATATCAGTTCATCTTTCTGAGGACTTCATTACCAAGTAGAACAGAGGTGGTGGAGCACCAAGCAGCTGTCTGGCTGCCTTTTAAAATAAGTGGCATGAACTGCCAGAGGAGGCTGAGGGTAGGGGAAGTATGGGGACAGCATCTTCTACAGCTGCTCCTGAGCCATTTGTTTGACTTTATAGCAATAACATCAGTTGATCTAGCCGTGGTGCTGGCTGTCTTGATGAGTGCTAATAACAAGCACATCACTGTCTGGATATGATGGTCATTGAAAGCAGGAGATAAATGCCCAAGAAAGTCTTCATGCTTGGTGCTGGAATGATTCTCCAAACTCTGGCTTTTGTAGATGGTCTGTGTCAAGGACATACTTGCAGGAGTCTTTAGGACCTTAGATTTAAAACACCACAACTAAACCTGCCTGGTAGTAGGTTCACATTTTTATTACTGTAAGTACCATGTAACTGTTTTCTAATTAAAGTGATTTAATAGTGACCTGAAAAGGAAGCTGGCTCAGAGTTAAGTATGAATTTATGGAGTATTTTAGCTAACCCACTGCGTGTGCTGGAACTCCCATATCACTGTAACAGTGCTTATAGGATGGTTGAGACAGACTTCAATGACACTCTTTTTTTAGGGTTCAGCCTTGCACTTACAAAC